GTTTAGACAATTTATCTTGGAGTTTCTTCGTCTCTTCTCTTTCTTTCTTCCAAGCAAAGCACGTGCTCATTGCGACTTCCAATTTAAGATAATACTGGCCCAAAAAAGAAGTAAAAAAATTATTCAACCTTTTCCGAATCACGTAGAACAAACACAGAAACCTTTCCGCCTGATTAAAGTCTTGTCTCTCAAGCCGTTTCAATCCGTTCTGTATCCCCTTTTTGGGTCACAATCAGAGGTCCAAGAGCTTCTCTTTGATTAGGTATCCAAAATTATGCAAATTAAATACACATCGCATCTAGAAAATGGCTTAACAAGACCACCACAGTGAAAATGAAAATTTGTCAACAATTTTCCCATGTCGCTATGCACAATTTATTTTTATTTATTATTCGAATAAAATGCAAAAGCATGCAAAATTTTAAAAATAAAACAAAGTGAAAACAATGCAAATTTGTGTCAACCAATAAACTCGCGATGTTGGCACAAAGAACTGAAAAACAAAAAAGGAAAACGGCCACTTGTCCGTTGAGCGTCAGTTTTAAACAGAACAATGTGAACATCACTAGGATTACATAAAAACATTCAAATATACAAAATATGCAAAGGAAAAAAACAAAATCCTCTTTTATGTGCAACCGCAATATAAAAGAGTGATTTTTTGTAAAGATTTTAAATATTGAATTTATATTGCTGTATACATTTAGTTACGCGCCATTGTATGCATTACGTGTCATTTATTTCCATAAATATTTTAAGAAAATACAATTTTAAATTTAAATATCCTCGAACATGTATATATACCTACTATAAATATGAACTTGAGTTTATAATAATTTATGGGGTCACTAAAAATTGCATTCAACTTCTTGGAAGGAATTCATAAATATTCTTTGATTAGATTCACCCACGTAGCAATTACACGCTTATCACGATGATTATAAAAGTTTGTTGGCAACTCTTTTTCAGTCCAGATAAATTATACAACTTTATTTTGGTTTCAAGGTCGGGCTTAATAAACTTTTTGTCTACCCAAACAAAGGAACAATGAAGTTATAAATCATAATTATAATGAAAATGTCGTTGACCTGCTAGACTTTTCTGCCAGTAATTTGAAATTGAAAATTCTTTGTCGAAAAGGAATTATAGCTGATAAAGCGCTTTCATTTTTTATTTTTATTTTTAGATGGGGGAGATTGAGAAAATGTCATAAATTTATCTCTTTTTAGGAGAAAAATTCCACCTGCAGATAATTCGAAATTCTTTGCCATTGGCATGTCAAATATTTGCCGAGCCGAACGCTGCCTTTTACCCCGCAAATCCGGAGCATGACTTGCGTCGATTATTGGGGAGGGAAAAACCTTTTACCACCCCCATTCTGGGCGGTTTCTGCTGACTGTTATCTGACGCCTAACATTTCCTTGCCAGCAGCAGATGAATTCATCTATCCATCTATCAGTTGGATGCCAGCTTCCAGTCGAGCACCCAAAACGCATTTAATTTATATAAGTCACGTGAGAGGCATTTTTTATGGGGCTTTCGGTGATGAGGGAAACCCACCCTCCCCAATCAGAGGAAAAGCTGGATTTGGCTCCCTGATTTGATGAGTTTTGCAACCCTCCCAAAGGGGTTTTCCAAAACAAAATCCGCTCGAGTAATAGAAACGTCTCGAATCGTAAGCGGACACGCAGTCGGCTCTAATTTGACTCTCATAATTCCCCATTTCACATTGGGTCAATGTCCATTTGGGTTATACATACTTCTATATATTTTCGGGGGCGGCTCAAAGCTTTTGGATTTTGGCTGGACTTCAACCTACATATGCTAACCAAATTTGACAGGCCGGCAAGCACTTGGACAAATAATAAATGTCACTAATCATGACGGAGTGGATTTATGCGGCGACTGATTTAGTGACTGAAAATGAGTGCACTCCATTTCGTATGCTTCTTTGGACTTCGCATTTTGATTTATTAGTCAAGGCCCCCATGGGAAGGGGGTTAGGGGGGCTTAGGGGGTAGGAGGGGCTCTCAAAAGCCCGAAGAAAGCGAGAAGACTCGGCTCGACTTAAGTGAATTATATTTTGTGTGTGGCGCTCATGTCGTGGCGACATCATAAATCAAACAAAAGTCCATTTGGTATTTCACACTTTTGGCACGTGACTCTTTCAAGCGGATCTCGAAGATCTTCGCTTTCAGTTTTTCGGTATGGAGCTTACAGATTTCGTGGGTAATAATTGTTGATGGCTTTTTAATGGAGATGTTAGCATAGAGATGTGATTGAAAATGATGGGTTATTTATTACAGAAAATGTGGTTTGTCAAAGTTCTACATTTCTAGGCCACGAGACAAATGTTCTTATGCTTAATATTAATTTAAATCCAATATTTCAGGATATTCTTCCGTTTTTTCAAGCATAGAGTAAAAATATCTTCTATCAATCTTCATAATCGATTTGTAGGGGCCATTTTCTTCAAGGTTCCAGACTTCTAGCCATTTCCTTAGTATCTGACCCTTTCTCGAAGTCCGTGAACCGCCTACAAAACTCCTCCCACATAAAGACGAAACCGTTGTCTAATCTAGTATGAAAAACCCAATAGAGGAACGAACAGTCATAAGTTCAGGCCATTAACAATTGCGTGTTCTGCCATCGTCATCGTCATTGAATCGAATCGACGACGACATCATTTCTCGTTGTGTCCCATCGCTGCCGGGACAATCAAAAAGTTTAGCTTATGCCATTAAATTGTATTTTTAGTTTGTTTCGCTGTCGCTTCGTGCAAATGCAATAAATAAGTAAACAAATTAAATGCGCATAAATAACAGCGGAGCGGCAAAGAGGTTAACATATCCCAACTACCGTGCTAATGTGCATAAACTATCGCTCGAATCCAGTTGGCCAAAGTCTCAGACACGTGTGAGCCACAAAAATCAAGAGAAAAGCATGAGAAACATTGAGCAAAATAACTACCGAAAGAGCCGCCAAAACGTGGGACAAGATAACTTATTAAAAAGCGAAAAACCGCGCAGATTTCGCAGCGTGAAATTTTTTGCACATGACGCAATTTTTTGCCAAAAAAAAAAACAAAAAACAAATAGTAGAAAAAACAACAATAAAAAGCCAAGCCGGCGAACAAAAAACTTAAATAAAATAAAAAGGCAGCCAAGTTGTCGTTTGCTCATTTTGGCGTGACACACATAAGAATACACTGATAGCCAACAATATATTATATGCATAGTATACAATTTGTAGTTTATGCGAATTGTCCGTCGTTGCTGTGCGCATAAAATTATTAGAACGATATAATTTCATTATCAGACAGGCGAAAAGGCAGTGAGCAGAGCGCTAAAGCGGCAAAAAAAAAGCCGAGAGAGAAAAGTTCATTGGCACACAGGGCGTATGAGTGTTGGCTCAAGTATTTTCGCACACTCACTCGCGCACACAGCGACAGATAAACAATTGCTGACTACAAAAATTGCTGGCTGAATTTATTATTTAATTATGTTTTGCATGCGAGAGAAGAAAGGAAGCAATTTCGTAGGAAAACTGTACAAAATGTATCTTCTAGACGGCGACTGTTGAGCAACTTAACGAGTTTGGGGAGTCAAAGTTTATTTGGACTTGGCCCAAAGAGATAGTGAAAGAGCCGACTTTATGATTTGTGTTGGTTGCCTGCCGAAGCGTGACTTTCACGTCTGTTTGTCCCCAAAAAATTAAAAAAAAAAAATAGAAAAGAAAAACATGTGGACTAAGTTTTAAGAGCTTAAATGTAATTTATTAAAAAGCAATTCTTATATAAAAAGATTTTGTTTATTCTTTTGTTTTTCTGAAGCTGCTTTAGTTAAAAATTAAATTATGACCCCTACCAGTTTACCGATAAAATTGGGGGCATCATGACGCGAATCAATTAGTAAACACTTTTTTATGTACCTTTAATCTGGACTCAGTGGCTTTCATGCAAATGGATTTTGTGGCAAGCTAAAAAGTTTCTAAACCCCCGAAAACCATTTACCCCAACCTAAAACAAAAGAAAAATCCAACAAAAGTGTTCGCTTGATTTTCGGTTTTGCAATTTTTTGGGTATTCGCAGTGGAACTTTTTGTTGGTTGCATATTTTAACATTTCCCGCTGATGTGCTGCTGCTGCTACTGTTGTGCAAATAAAATAATGTTTTTGGCAAATTTTCAAAAATGTATCAATGGCAAAATTTGCTCGACTCATAGATGTGTGTGTGTGTGTGTGTAAAGCTATTGTTTGTTGCATACAAATTTTATAGATTTTCAACGCCTTCGAATGCAGCTGCCAAATATCCTGCAGCCTTATATGCAAAGCTCGGGCTGCTCAGTCTCCTTCTTTATTCGTGTCCCTCTGGCACATGTGTGGCATTTTAAGTGAAAAACGCCATCGTCATGGCTGTCGTCAACATGCCAATGTGTCTCCCTCTCCCTCTCTCTCTCTCTCTCTCTTTTACCTCTAGGCCTTTCTCTTTCTGCCTGGCTTCTTACCTCCATCTCTATCTATTGGGCTATCCCCATCTCTATCCATTGTGTGAGCCAAGCAGCATTCAATAACTTCGAATGGCAGTTATTTCTGCTGGAATTTCAATAAAAATACTTGCCTCCAGTTCTCGCTCTTCCCTGGGGCAACTCTCCGTCCATAGATTGTGGGAGCCAAATCGCTTAATATTATCGGCATACTTTCGCAAAATACATTTTAATATTGCCTACTGGTGTGCGATGGAGTCCTTTGACCACCTATCGTTTGGTTCTCGGAAAACAATCTGTAGTATTTGAAATTATTATTTGATATCGTCTTCTTAATATAATAAGTTATGTTTATCAAACAAATGTTTTAAATGAGGATGTTTAAATTTTACAACTACAGATTTATTACTAACTTTGAGTAATGTAGTCCTGTTTATATTAATGTTATGTATTAAAGATAAGATTTAAATATTTTCCTGTGTACTAACGCCATCTGTTCTCCCTACTTTTTTGCAGTACGGTCAGCGAGTGCCGACGGCAGCCTCACCGAGCAACACCAACTCGAGCAGCTCCTCGAACACGGGCTCCCAGAGCGGCACGCTGAGCACCAGCCTGAGCAACACGACGAACACCAACACGAACATGGGTCCCAACGGCACGGTACAGAATCAAAACCAACAGGGCGGCGAGCAGTTGTCCAAGACAAATCTCTACATTCGCGGACTGCAGCAGGGCACAACTGACAAGGATCTAGTTAATATGTGTGCACAGTGAGTACCAGGACATGACTTTTCATGGCCGACAAAAAATACAAATACAATAAAAAGGAAGGGAAAATCAAACCGAAACCCTTTGATATTGCCATTCAAATCGGATTCAGATTCAGATATGAATGCAATCAAAGCTCTCAGCGATTTGTGCGTGTGCGTGCCCTGCGGTCTTGTATCTTGTATCTTGTAAATTGTATCTTGTCTCTGCGGTCCACCTTTCACATTAAATTGCATTATATCTAAGATAGCTTCCTGGGCAGGCCATTATGCAAATTCATTTCGTTTTAATTGTTTTTGCAGCTCCGGGCTTTCACTCTGCTTGAATATATTTGCTTTATGTATCTTGCCTTTGAGCAACCGAGCCAGAGATGCTGATGCCTTTGAGCAAGAAGCGTCTACATCAATTTTAATTGAACCTAATAACTGAATGGGGAATGCCAGCTATTGATGGAATAGTATTACGTTTTCCATGATATTATATAAAATAAACCATTAAAAGCGTTGAATTGCTTAAGAGTATGAAGAATAGGTGAAGGCAATTTAAGTTTAAGAATATATTGCAAAAAAGAACATAAAGCTTTTAAAGCAAGAAACGTAACAATAACATATTTTAGCGTTTTTCAATTTAAAATACAAAACAATTTTCCTTGGAGTTCTATTATAGAAATGGTTAGTGTACTTTTAGATAATATACTTTTGCCAATTTTCCGATACCAAATACATTTGTAAAATGAAAATGTATTCCATACCGTCGACCGTTTTCCTTTCTCAGCTGTATCTTTTGGAATCGCTTGTATCTTCGGTGCCACATCAGGCATACAAAATGCCATCCATACGAAATGAACTAATTCGAAATGTGTGTGACCGACTATTGATTTGCCCCCACTGAGTGATGTGGTGAGTCTGTGTGTGGGGGTTTCTGTGTGTGTGTGGGGGAGTGTGTGTGTTTATGTTTGAGACGAAACGGAACCCGAAATCCATTTCCATCCGTTCTATCCGCTCCACCACCCCCAACCCCTCTGCTAATGAGCGGCTTAGCCTCAGTCCATTCCGCTTGGCTGCGTTTCCATAAAGCCGCCGCCCCGCCCCGCCCCTTTTGTCCTTCGGCCCAAAAGTAACCCCCAAAAAAGCAACTACCCCTGACCTTCTTGATGAACGAGGCCAAGTTTCTGCAAACTAAACAAAATCCACTAATTAGTGCGCACGCTTTATCAAAAAAGCCGAACATTTTCGGGTATCCAAAGGGGGAAATCATTTTGTGGTGTACCAGCAAGCTAAACTTATTATTATGTGCGTATTACGCATACGCACTGCTGGCCATTTCTTTTATGCATAAAAAATAACTTATTTGCGGCGTCACACGAACATAAAAACCTGATGCAAAAGGCAGGGGTCGCTTTGCCCTTGTTGTTGTTGTAAGTCAAGTAATTAAATTGAAGGTTAATTTATTTTGCTTTTCTTTTTTTTACCGCACAGCGTCCTTTTCTCGTCCTGCGGCAGGCAATCAAAGTAAGCGGCTTATTAGTGGACGAAGCTCGGGGTGCGGGGCTTTAATGTTATTATAACTAAGTATTTATGGGGTAAAGAGCAAGGGGAAACTGCTGCTAGTGTAACTAAGAAGATATCGATTTAATTTCAGCCGGCAGGCAGGCAGGGGCATTACACACGGACTAAGTCAATTATTACCAGGTATAAATGAGCAATATGGCGCCAAAGGAAATGGGGAAAAAGATAGCTAAAGGGTTGTGAAAATTTCCGTTGCCTACTTTGGAGCGCACGAGCATAAAAATTGCATTTTAATGACACTTTAATTGGTTATGGTAAGGCAAATACGTCCCAATCAGGCTCACTTGCCAGGTGTCTCATTGGGCAACCCCTAACTCTTTGCCCCCATCCTCTATAATATCTATATATGTATATATAAATATATACTCTGGCACGTGGCACCAGGCACGCACACACACATACGCACAGACACCCTGGGAGACATGAATGTGTTTATAATCTGATTATCCGTTCTTTGCAGTCGTTGTCATGCAACGAAATCCCATTGTCCACTTAATGCGGTATTCTATTTAACCCACCTGTGTCTCTTCTTGTCTAACTTTCAGATACGGAACAATTATATCAACCAAGGCTATTTTAGATAAAACAACAAACAAATGTAAAGGTATTTTTTTCTTCACCATTCTCATCATTATTTTATTTATGTGTGTTTTTGTATAAGTATTATTAGTATGTGTTTATGTAAAAAAATATCCAAAAGAAACGCAAGAAAAAAGTATAAACAAACCAAAAACTGAAATTTCATTGATTTCTTAAATACCTATTTTGTTTTTTCTTCACAAATGCTGAGTGCTCCTGGAGAGATACTTTAATTTAATTATTTTATTTCATTTACCTTATATATACCAGAAATTATTAAGCAATTCAAATCTTATAAATTTCAAAGAACTCAGCATCTCTTTTATTTTCATTATAAGTAAAAGATTTTTTAATTGATCTTACCCTTTTCCTAGTTCCTTATTCAGTGTAGTTTTATTAAAATCTTGTATTTATAAATAATTTTTCTAAATAGAATATTGGCATTAAGAAGTTTGTACTTCATTTTGTTCTACTGACTTTGAGTTTTTGAGTTCGGTTCATTTCGCATTCGAGTCATTCATGCATTCCACTCTACTATTACAAATACTATCTACTGCTACCGATGCACTCAACTAATGCTAATAATAACGGTTACGATAATATGTAAATACCCCGATAACTGAACAAGCTGTAAAAATAGTGTATCTATGAAAGACTGCTCTCGATCAATGTGTGTGCGTGTATTGATATAAATATATTTCGTATTCAGTTCTTTTTTCGTTTGTTACTTGCCTTTGGACTTTTTTTTTACCAGTTTCTGTATGTTAGCGTTTAAGTTGAATCAAATTAATTATTAATTTAATTTTCACCCGTTTATTCTCTCCCCTCTCTTTTCTCGTTGAACAAATATTTTGTTTTTGTTCGATTTTGTTTTTGTTGCACGTAACCCAATGCGAAAATCCCCATTTTTTTCGTTTCTTGATTGAATTCGATTTCAATTTTCGATTTGTGTGCCAACCAAATATTGGACTATAAATAAACATCTATTTCTCTCTCTCTCTCTCTGTCTCTGCAAATATAATTATATATATATATTTATACATGCAATTAAAAAAAATAAAAATAAAATTCCCCCCACCCGCAACACACAAAAACAAACAACAAAAAAATGAAACGAAAACAAAAACAACAACGAAAAACAAAAACAAAATATGCTTTTTTGCAGGTTACGGCTTCGTTGACTTCGAGCAGCCAGCCTTCGCCGAGTGCGCCGTAAAAGGATTGCAGGGGAAGGGCGTGCAAGCTCAGATGGCCAAAGTGGGTATCTGGGTGCTTCATAGGCCGGCCATTGTACGTTTGTTTGCATGCAAGTAATACTCACCCCCCACACACCGCAGTGTCCCATTCCCCATCTCCATCCTCCAGAGAAAAGAGTCCCCAAAGCCCAAATCCCACTCCAAATTCTAAATCCCCCTCCTCCCCAGTAATTTGTGCATTTCGTTTACTGTACTGACCCCCAAAGCTGCCTCCAACTTTCATCATTTAAGTTTTGTTAAGACTGAAATTAGTTTTTGGTTAAGGCCCCAAAATTCGTGCTCGCAAAAAAACTTCTTAAACAACAAAACCAATTATTTAAATCACATCTTTTGTGTCAGTTAATCCTTTGAATCATGGTTACGGTATATAATTCAAACTATATAAAATGAAATTTGTCAAATTTTTAGATATGTCTGTTTAATAAGTGATTTTATGAGCATGATTACCGGGCCTAAAAAATAATTGGGTTCCCTCTTCCTTGAGATAAGCCAAATTCTCACAAAGTGAACCTTCTTTGAGGCTCAGAAAAAATTATTTTTCTCACACCGCAGGGTGTGCATTTGTATATCTATCTATCTTTATTTTCATTTAAATTCCCACCTTCAAACTCCTTATCCGAAAACCCAAAGCCAACCCCAACCTCTAGTTCGTAGTGTTGTTCCAAAACTCTATTTGTATAACCGTTTGTCGTATACCAAAAACCACACATAATATCTCTATATAACCGACTATATAGACAAAAACATTTTTTAGTAAACCTCAAAACATTGTTTTAGATTTATTTTCTTGTTTTCTCTTTCTTTGCATAGCGGTAGTTTCGACGATAGCCTAAAACATATTTTTAGAATACATTTCCATATAAAATGAGAATAAATGCATTTTAATAGCATTCGTTAGTTCATATTTATGAAGCTGAAAGTCATAAATTAATTATTCCTTCTCTTTAATCTTCCTTTAGCAGTTGAATAATGAACCCCAAAATACTGACATTTAGTGAGAACCATTAAAGTTTTTTTTAGCGGATTATTTTGGTAAAATATTGCATTAAGCGTAAACAGTACAGGTATTTATAGAGTTTGGAGTAAAACATTTTTCGTAAGGTATTTGAATATAAAAAGAATGCAGTACATACGAAACGAACCCCAATAAATCCATTATTTAGCTCAGGCTTTATTCATCAAGGTAGACTTAGAATTAAAATTATTTTAATTCTTTTAATCAATCCGGGTAATTAGAATAAACCTTAATATATAGATTTTATAAATTCAAATTCATTATATTAGAAGAACACTGTTCTGTATTAAATAAATGATTACCTTGTTTATTTTATTTACTTTCACCATACAACCTTTATATTCTTTCTTTATACATCATCATACTTTCTAATTTACTAGGAGATACTGTAGCTTAGTTCTTAAGGGGTTATATACCTTCTTTGTCGAAAAAAAGAGGAAAGTTCGGATTTTTTTTTAGGTATGTAGCAATTATTTAATTACACGGGTGTTTTAATTTTTTGATAGTACACTTTATTAACTATGTTTGTGCAAAATTTCGTGGAAAAATATCAATTAGTTTTTAAGGGGTGGGTGTTTCCCTTAGAGGCCTTTTTTTTTAGAGCCTTGCGGTGATAACGCTCCTGGTCGAACCGGTCAATTGAAACCATAAAAGTAAAAAAATTTCATTAGTTTAGAGTAATATCTTGTGCTTGAACGAACGATTTTAAAATTTTTTATTTTTTTATGCGTACGGGAACGTTTTATGCTAAAAATGAGCTTTTTGGTCTCTAGAAATTTCACTAAAAAATTAATTTCGGCGAAAAAAAATTTTTGCGTGAAAAGTCGATCGTTCAAGCACAAGACAATTTCATTATGAACATTTAAAAAAAATTTGAAGTAAATCGGCTTAGTAGTTTTCCGCCAATCGTTATCACCGCAAAGTCATTTTTCAAGAAACACCATTTCGAGATATTCGCGTTTAAAGTTTCAAGTTCCGGTTCTAGCCGCTACGAGGTGCGCGGTTAGGAGCGCTGTAACTTTTTTTCTACTGCTCGAATCTCTATGAATATTTGGGAAATTATTCTCAAAGAGTTGTTCTTTAAGATAAAACAATAAAAAAATTTTCGATTTTTTGAAAATAAAAAAGGTATATAACCCCTTAAATGGGGATAGAGGTTCTAAATTTAAGTACATTTTAGTTATTAACCTCATCGATTTAAGTAGACCAAGTCAAATTGAAATAGCGTCTCCCTTCTTACCCGATTTTATTTAAGGAACACATTGTAATCATCCCAATACTTGATTCGTAAATCGTAATTTACAATTAGCGGCTATTTACATTGGCTTACGGATGCTGGGACCTGGCATCAATTTAAATGTTGTCCATTTATTCGTAAATATTAATAATCTGTAAACAAATCAAAAAGTTTTTCATTCAAAGAGCTTAGCAACTTTGTTCACTCTCCTCTCGTTAGCTTCTCCCCAACGTTATAATCCGATGGCATTAAATGCTCATTACAAAAAAAAAAAACAAAAAACATAGCCAACAAAATAATGAAAAGTTTGCTGTACAAATAAAACACAGACCACACGTAATTACGTAGGCATTAACGATTGTAATCCATAGAGTTGAACAACACTCACACACTATAGACTTAGCGTATATCTCTCTTCATATCTGATATTCTATATATTGAATCTGTATATTCAACTGTATAAACTGTATACTCGTATTTTGAAGTTATAGCCAGCCAAGTATATAACCAACCTCTACTACTTCAACCTACTACAAAAGTTTGTTGTTTGAGTACGCAAATTGCTACAAACCTGTGCCGGCCAAAAATCAAACCAAAAACCAAATACAATCTAAACTCTAAGTATAACAATCAAACAGATTTCATTAAACCTTAAGACATAATTACTGAGCAGGTATTTAACTTAATTAAGCATTTAGGTTGGCATTATCATTGATTAATATACCACTGGAAAAAAAAAAACTGAAAATTCGGTTACTAACTATTGCTACAGGATAGCAACTTTTCCAGGATTAGAAGGTTAGCTACTAAAAATTCAGTGGTATTGTCAATGTTTTGCCAACTCCATTAAGCATCGTTGTTGAGGGCAAGAAAACACTGCATCTTCAAAGGGGGTAAACGTTTTGTAGGTCTACTTTTCTTCGCATAAGGTATTCTTGGATAAGTCTTGAGGCATTACATAACATTCACACTCACACACACGCAGACACCTACGCAAGAGTCAGGCACACTTAACACTCACACTAACACACTGACAACAGACAAACAGTCCAAAAAGAGTTGACAACAGATACATTTTTGGCAAGCAACTTGAATATTTACTAATGACAAAATCTCTACGTTCTTAATTTCTCTACTCCCCTCTCTCTCTCAAAATAAAAACCAAAAAAAAAAAAAAAAATAAATATAAAACAAACACACACTCAATCGCAAAAAATTCACAAACACAAAATACACACATCCAAATGCATACGCACACCAATTAAACACACATGCTTACGCCAACTGCTTTTGTGTAACGTTAATTTGTGTGAAACCGAAACAAACAACAAACAAAACCAACCAACCAAACCAAACCTACAAATCAAACTAAACCGATTCAATTTCAACAACCGTCCACAATCAACAACCCGACATTCAACAACCAACAATCGAAAATCAACAACGACAACAACAACAACACAACACCACCCTGATCTGACCCAATTGCATACAACAACCACACAGCAACAGGAACAGGATCCCACAAATTTGTATATTGCAAATTTGCCGCCCCACTTCAAAGAAACTGATCTGGAGGCAATGCTATCGAAATACGGACAAGTTGTTTCGACCAGAATATTGCGTGATCAGCAGATGAACTCCAAGGGTGAGTAGAAAATTTACTTTTTAATGTTTTTGGATAATAATTTAATATGTTTTCCCATTTAATTTTTAGGCGTTGGCTTTGCCCGCATGGAGAGTCGCGAGAAGTGCGAGCAAATCATTCAGATGTTTAATGGTAACACAATACCGGGTGCCAAAGATCCCTTGCTGGTGAAGTTCGCCGACGGTGGACCCAAAAAGAAGAATCTCTTCAAGACGCCCGACCCGAATGCGCGTGCGTGGCGCGACGTCTCCGCGGAGGGGATTCCCGTGGCCTACGATCCAACTATGCAGCAGAACGGAGTCAGCGTGAACGTCGGCACGCCCATCGGAGTGCCCTACTCCCGCTTCAGCGCCCCCCAGGTGGGTGGCTATCCAGTGGCCGGCTCCCAGTGGATTCCCGGTTACATGATGACCCAGCCGATCACTCAGGTAGATGATCAGGTGAGTATAGGAGTTACTCCCATCGTGGGTATGTGGCACTGAAATCGAATCGAATTAATGTTTAATACAAGCGTTTACTTTAAAACTTCAAATATATATTTTAAATTCATGACTGGAGATTTCAGTGCCATGTTTGAATTATTTAAGTTTCAAACTATAACTAATCGATCTTAGTTCTCCCCGCAGTACATGCAAATGGCGGCCGCCCCTCAGCTGGGAGTGACCTCATACAAACCGGAAGCGGTCAACCAGGTGCAGCCCCGCGGCATCTCGATGATGGTCAGCGGCGACACGGGCGTGCCATATGGAACGATGATGCCTCAGTTGGCCACCCTGCAGATTGGCAACTCTGTAAGACATCGATCTCTGATCTTGCGAGACTCGAAATACTTTCTTTCGAGCTTAGGCGCAGATATGCACATGGCAAATCTACACATGTGCATGTCTGTTGAAATCCTGGTGGATTGAAAAGAAAGAAAAGAGTTCTCAGCTAGATGCACACTTAAAAGATCTATGATTGTGCGATCTTTTTAGTGTGAGCTGGCTGTGTTTAAGCTTGAAAGATGATACCTAATTTGTACTCTTTTTACTCCTTTCTTTTATTCCAATTACTTAACTCCTAATTTTGATTGATTTTTTGTTTGGATTTATTTTTGTATTTTTTTCGTTTTTTCGGTTTCTTTTATAGAACTTTTCTCCATCGTTACAGTATATTAGTCCAACTTACCCATATTATGCACCACCACCAACTATTATACCAACAATGCCAATGACAGATTCCGAACAGGCTAGCACAGCTGCATCACCCGACGAGGCATACACACAGTATCCACATCAAGCCGCTCCCAAATAGGTCTTCGCGAGGTGAGTGAACGTAAAGTCTTCTCCGCCAATGTCCACGCTTTGTCTCCATCTCAATGGCTCTGCATCCAATGCCTCTATCTCTTCATAAGTTTCTTTACCCGGGTTCGAAATTTCTCACTTAAAATACTTCACTTAATGTTAAAACAGTATTAGTAATTTTTTTACTTTGCGTTTCTCTACTAAACCACTCCGGGCTTTCCAACACTGTTAAGCATGTGCGTTGTCTTTTTTTTTTCTTAAGACCCCACGTACCATTAAAGCTTTGTTTACCAAAGTAAAGATCATGTCAACCGCCCTATTTCACTTCCATTGAAACAAATTGAGTTTTACTAAAAACTCCAAAAGATTCATCGCTTCTTAGAACACTTACGCACACTGAACAAAATGCACCCACAAAAACAGCACGCTTACACACTAAAAACCACCGGCTTCATGTGCTTTGTGTGCTCTGCTTGTTGTTGCTTGCCTGTTTGCTTCAGATCTGTTCATTACCAATATTTTTTAAACCACCTTTTCTAATTATTAAAAACCGTTTCCATTTATTTTCTGAAACAACGTTTTGCGGCTTCTTTTAATACAACCACATGGCTCCATAAATTATATAGTATAGTTACTAAGCAGTCTTCTTACTGGTAACCCATACCAGGTAAATATCATTCGTAACTCATTAAAATCGCCTGCATGTTACCCGGCTATAAACATTTTCCTATCATACAAACAATGTTCCTTTTCCCTGACAAAAAAGTTATTGAAAACAAATCCACTAAATAATTTGTTTATTTTTCTAGCTATAATATATTAGTACCGCATTTGGGTACTATATAAAGTGGACGAGAGTGAGATCAATCCTGGTGGAAGCGGAAAAGCCAAGGAGGGAGGAAAATCAAGAGGGAAAACGTCAGAGGCAGCGGATCGGATAAAGGAGTCAAACAACCAACACATGAACAACAACTAGAGGAAAACATCATCGGCGGCAGAAGAATCAGTAACACAGCATGCAGTTCACGAAGAAAAAAAATGTAGAGAAAAGCCGACCCCAAAAAGAATGGGAAATCCCAAAAAGCTAAGGCAGAGAAAACAATGTAAAAATAAGCGGGTTGGATAAGAGTATATGAAGTTAGGGGATTAATGAATAAACGCAAGAAGAAAAGCCGCCGGTCTCCGATGAGACGAGCGCAGAAGACGCGAGTAAAAGTGAAGAAAAGCAAAGACTAAACTTAAATAATAGAGAATAGTTATACACTAAATAAACAACCAGAGAAGCAGCAGCAGAACGGCAACCATTGCCGGCAAACAACAGCGGCAAACGAGAGAGCAGTCCAAAAAATATTTACAAAAAGAGAACTGCAGGATGCGAAGGGAAGCACAGTCAAAGTCAAAGGAAACTCACTTGGGGGTCGAAAGAACTTGACGAAATCTGCCGAGAAAGCAAACATCGCAGATTAGAGTTAAGTTAATTTTGTTAAGCGCAAGAGGAAAAACATTTGAACGGGGGGGCAAACCGAAACCAGGAAAGAGCGATGTAAAAATAGAAGAGAAAATAAAAAGAAACTATTTTGCTAATTTTGAGCTAGCAAAACCTAAGCAGACAGACATTTGTGAAATGAAAGAAGGAAAACAGAAACAAAACAAAAATAAATGTGTGTGCAATGTATGTTAAAGAACCGTAAAGAAAACGCAGAGCAAATAAAAAATGAAACAAAATCCATTTCGATGATGATATAAACAAAGCATAACTCTTAAGTCAAAGTGCAGCGGCAGCAAAGAAACCCCCTGAAGAGCGAAGAAAGCGCGAGAATGCGCCGAAGAAAGCAAACGTTTTTTTAAACTTAGAGGCAACGTTTTCTTTGTTGTGGCCTGCTAAAGAAGATTTTTACGATGAAACTCAGACTCTACCTTTGTTTTGTTCTGTTTGTCTAATTTGTAATATTTATTTTGTATTTTTGTTGAATCGTGTTGAACAGCACAAAGAACGGAAGCAGAGGAAAGCGTAGATAGCCACAAAAAGAAAGGAGATCTTTGGTTTGTTTTCTCCTTTTGTTGGTTTCTTGAACCAAAACACGCAAATTGTATAAAGCAAAGATCCGAAAAACAAAAACAAAACCGAAAACGAAAACGAAATGTCTATTTCCCCTTTTTGACATTCGTTTTGTGCTATCCAAGCAGTCAAAAGAAAAGAAAATGAATTAAAACAAAAGAAATGAGGAGAAAAGTCCTAGAATAGGGCAAAACACCTAGTATTAAGTCTTAGCAAAACAAAAATAAGAAAATTGCAGTAAGCAAAACAGAGTTAGTAGTTCTAGAGATCTAAAAGAAAGCAAAAGTCGAAAGAATAAGCAAAAGCTTACGAAGACCGAATGAAGGGAAATCTTGTACTAGTTTTTAGCATATTTTTTGTGCTCATCAGTCGATTTAATGAATGAATTTTTTGTAGCTGTCTACAGTTTTTTACGTTAACTGTTTTTTAGACATATTAATGAGTAAAGTAAAACCAACAAAAACAACCTAGATATAGTATATATTTTCTGCATATGAGAAGTTGTTGTAGGAGGAGAGCAGAAGAAAGTCAGGCGGGAGAAGAATGGAGTTTGAATAGCATGAAAACCAAGAGGCAAACACTTTTTAAAAGGAAATAGCGAAACAAACCGAGACGACGACACACAAAAGAAATAGCAAAACACAGAACAAGAAAATAAAATTTGAAACTGTAGAATTGTAGTTTAGCTTTGTGATGGCCGGCGGAGAAAGTACGATTTTTTGAAGGATCAGCAAGGATCGAAAAGAACAACAACCACAACAACAGCAGCAACAACTGGCACAGGCAGTAGCAGAAATGTAAAACAAAACCAAGAAAATTAATGTTAAATTGAAAAAAAAAAAAAAACACATAATGAAGATGTAAGAATGAAGAGAACTACGTTTAGTGAACTTAGTTAATAAGCGAAGATTTCTTTAGTCTTGTAAGCGTCTCTTAAGTAGAGTTTGAAGAACGGAGGAAGGAGTTTAGAAATGAAATTGAACCTTTTTCAAAGCCTAGCATATTTATTTTCCCGAGACACAGGAACAAACAACAACACACTGACACACAAACACCAACACGGACACACCTATCAAGCCTAAGCATTGTATTTGTGATTTTTTCGAATGTTAATTGATTAACGAAACACGATGAGCAAAATAAGAGAAACAAGGGAAACATCAAGTAGGCGATGTGGGTGGGAGAAAGTGTGGCGATGAGAGAAGTTTTTCAGAATCTCCGTTTGAGCAAGGACACCCTCACACCACAAAAAACATTCCTGAGCAAAGTCTTTGATTTGATTTTAATATATATGTATGTGTTGAAACGATTTGATTTTCGAGTTTAGAGTTGTCAAGTCGCCTAACTGAACTATCTACATATATATTTATTATATATATACATATATAAAAACGTAAGAAACACAACGCCAAAAGTCTTCCTAAGCCTAAAACCAAAACAACAACATAATGCAAATGTTTTTTTTTTTTTTGTATTCTTACTACGATTATTTGCTTTAGACTGACTACGAACTGAAACTGTAACAATAACAACAAAGGCAGGATTGTAAACCCCTAATGAAAAAAAAAAAAACACTTACACCTGAATTCACCTCCTGAAGTTAATGCAGGCATCGGAGAAATATATATTTTGCCAAGACATTCCAGAAGCGAAAAAAAGAAAAGCGAAATTGTTTACATATAAAAATTTTGTGCAAGATGCCTGCATTTGTTGTCCTATAAAAGAAGAATCACAAATACAAGAACCACTCATTGGGAGGATATTTTTGAAAGATTTTCAATCCTGTTTTTCTCGATACAACTACAAACACACGCCCACGCACACGCATACACCTCCCCAAACTCACACAAAGTGCAATTTTCTTTCTGTAGTTTTTCATTGATTTTACTTTGTTAGCAGCAAAAACAACTTAAGCAAATTGAGAAAGCATTAAGATCTAAGTTATTTATAAATCGATGGAGGAAACGAGAAGAGCTGGGGGCGTGTCTTACCGCCCCCTCCCTAGGAAAGTGAAAATGAAATTTATGTTTTAGAGGAACGGGAACGAAGTCGAGTCGAAGCAGGAGAAGAACCTAGATTATAAGATCAAAGCCTAGTGCGTAAGTTTAGAGAATCTAAGTACAGTGTTGACAAGCTAAGAAGAACGCAGAAGCGGAAACGAGTAGCGTAGAGCGAGGCAAGAAAAGTAGCACGAAAGACGGAGACGAGTAGGACATATGATTTCTAGTTGGTAGCGAAAGGAGAAAGAATAGTTGGTTAGTTTGAGTGCAACAACACACGTGTAGCAAGTTGTAGTTTTTGTGTAGTTAGAGCGACAGTGTTGGAAAACGCCGCGTCGCACAGTTTGAGGTTAGGTTTAATTTGGAAAAATAAAGAAGGATGAAAGGATAAAAGCATGGACGTTGGAGAGGGTAAACAATAAAAATCAACCGACGAAGAGTGTTCTAATCTAAAGCTATACTGACTTTTTGTGTGTGTATTTAAATCTACTTTGACAAGAAGCCAAACTTGGAACTCGTTTGTTTTGCGTCTGTATTTTGTTTTAATTTAATGCGTTTTACTTTAGTTTTTTAACTAATTTTAAGTAGTTAATTTATTATTTGTCTTAAAATCGCCGAGACCCCAATCAAGATTCAAGATTGCTTGGGTTTCTCGCCCCTGATTGAAGACCTCTCGAAAGAGGAGCGAATCGATTAAATTTGATGCAAGTGTTGAAGTAATTTTTAAAATGCAAACAAAAAAATGTCTAGTGCGTAAAATTGAAAACTAAAAACAACAAAAATTTCAATAAAAACTAAAAAAAACAAAAACAAAAATAAATAAATATTTGGTTTGAGTGCGTTTTCCTTAGTTTAGTTTTGCGTTTTCCTTCCATGTGATTTCTTAGTAGTATAATGTTTGCTATATGTATTACCAGTTAGCTTACTAAACCCACACCAAATAGTTTTCAATAACGAATTCCTAAATTAATTGAGTACCCACTAAATTGAATTGTGTTTTAAACAGGAGGCAAACTTAGTCGTCTTAGTCGTTGTTTAGGGGCGGGCAGAGCAGAGCGTTGGAGGCGAGCGGGAGAAATAAATAAACATTTTTTAATTAAGCCAATTTAAGGAAATGATGAATATATATTTTTTTGAAACTTTTTTGACGAAACCAAGAATATAAACAAAACAAACAAAAAACCAAAAAACAAAATGAAAAAACACATAAAAGTGAGAGCGGAGCCAGAGGAATGAACGCTAGCAAATCGATGGGACAGGCAGGATGGAAAAAAAACCAGCTCATTAAATTTAAAAAATAAATAAGACAGTTTCGGTATGAGAAGAATGAAGGGAAAAGTAGTTGGAGATTAAGGGAATGGAACAGAACACGACGACAAAGGCGTAAACTAACTTTAAGTAAGCGTAAAATGCAAGCAGCTAATTAAACTTAGAAACAGAAATACTTAAATGAGAGTAATGTACATTTCGCTTGTTGCTATTTTTAAGTTTTAAATCAAAGTCTTTTAAAGAACTTTATTAATTTTCTTATTAATGATAAAAACCAAAAACCACAAAAAAATCAAGCAAAGCAAATGCGCAAACTGGTAAATTTAAATCAGAAGAAAAAAAACTACATTTCTCTTTGTAATCCTCCAGAAAACAAACTGAGGGAAAGATCGATCGATAGCATGAGGAATCCTTTTCAACTCTCTGTGTATTTTTTAAAGTATTATTTTTTGCATCAATGTGACGCTTTTAAGCATTTTTATATGGCGAAAGAATTGTATTTAAATCTCTAGTAAAAGCTAAAAGAACACGAAAAACCAACTAAAACTGACAAATGACAAGAAAAATGCGAGAAAGCGAAATCTTTGCTACAACTTTCAAATTTATACGCGTACTTTTTGTGCCCTCAACTTTAATGCAAGAGATCCTTCATGAAAAAACTGAATTGGAGATCAAGAGATAAAAGGTCAAAACCCAAATAAAAAAGAAAGAAAAAAGTTTAAAAATGAAAAATTAGTTTAAGCAAAACATTTTGCAGCTTTTGTGCTTATTTCGCTTAAGACTAGTTGAACAAGAAAACAAAAAACACAAAGTAAAAAAAAAAATTAAATCTAATTGTAAGTAAAAAAAAGAAAAGAGAATAGATCAGTATAATAGAACAGAACCGAAAGCGAGAGAATCAAGCAAAAAGCTAAGCGAGGGCAGGGTGAAAGATCCTGAGTCCGACTTAAAGCGACAGAAAGGCATTAAACCGAAAATAGCAAAAGATTTAAATGTGGACGTTGAACGATTTGAAGAACCCACAAAAGTAAAACAAGAAGAAAACGTGTCTCTTTGGTGAGAAAATGGAAAACCTAAAGAGCAAATGCTGTCATCCAAAAACCCAAAAAAAAAAAATGAAACTGAACTTTTTCTGAATCAATAAAAGACAAATTGATTTTCTGTAAGAAAACAAAAATCAAATGCATTTTTCATTCGTTTAGCTAAAGTGGTTGGGGATTCTATATGATGAAATCTCGTTTTAATGCAACTGTCACATTGGGGATGTGTGCGAGCCTACCCTTATGAAGAAGGGTTATCCTGCCATGGATGCTGTTATCCTGTCGAACCCCTTGTCCTCGTAAAATGTTTAGGCCTGTGGGGCGTGTAATGAGTTCCTCCCTTAGGCTATCTTTTCACGACACCACCCCGGCTTCATAAATAAAGTCCTTTGGCTTTTGGGGGGCGGAAGATATATGGAAGGACCCACACAACCACTCCTAGTGAGTGAGCCTATGTGTGCATGGGGAACCCACAAGGATGAACCCAAAAACGTTGACAGCAGTTCGTCCTGCTGAATTTGCTGCTATCCTGTTCGTTTGACTTGTTTGATGGTTTTATGAGTGTCAAAACTTGACAGCTTAATAGACATTTTTATGGCAGGCAATCGCCATTTCATTGTTATTGCAAGGAGTGGAATGGGGGTGTACGAAGTTTTCAGGGCAAAAAAAAAAAGAGAAGTCCCACCCCCACAGACACAGTCGAATAGCAACTTCCGAAACAAAATCAAGGGATGCTGTCAGCCCCACCAGGAAAGTTATGCCGCCGAAACGCACACTGAGAATAATCTAAAAGAGAGTTTTGGCTCTTCGCAAAAAAAACCAAGTACTTGGAGTTTTGTGTGTATTCATATTGGGATAGAGAAAAATATAGAAACCAACAATTTAAAACAAAATAAATTTCTAGCAAAATATATTTAATGGCTCTTTGCTATTTCACACTAAGGACCAATTTCTCTAAGTGCATACCCCCACTTTGATGTGTGTGTGTAGACCCTCCCCAAAAAACAACAACAACTTGTTTGTTTACTTGCCTTCCGTTATTTGGTTTTCGTATTTTCAGCGGCGTCTTTTGAGTTTTCTGGGCACCTGTTCGCGTGTTGTTTTTGTTTTAGTTGTATGCGTGACGACAACATAGATATTCATAAAGTTGAATTCTTTGTTATACGGAAATGGCCCATTGATATGTTTGAGTAAGGGAGAGGAGTTGTTCCATAAATACTTAGATTGTTATTCATCAAATGAGCAATGATTTCCAAAATGTTGTACTTATGCAATTTATATTATTGGATATATTTCTTTGCTTCACTAATTTTAACTCGGTATACAATTGACAAGGGCAGTTAAGTAAATCCGCTTTCAACCCGAATGCACGAAGTTCATTTAAAGCCAAGTTTATGTATTATTTATTTATTGTTTATATCTAGTTCAACTGCCTTACGGGTAATCTGATAGGCATGCTAGTTCCATTAGTTCGTGTACAGAAAACTGTTTAAACTATAAAAACTGACACTGTGGCTGCCAAGCCGTACAAAAACCGAATTGTTAACTGTTTGCACATCTATATAGGCTATATACGCTATATTCGCTCCCACATCGGATATCAGTTTTTGTGGTCTTGGACAAATGGAAACAATGGCTAACAAATTACGAACTACGCGGAAACAAAATTATATAAAAATCGTTAATTTTACACGGCACCTGCTCACTTGCCGCCAAAGCCGCCCATCAGGTTCCCCAGGCCGCCCAAACCGCCCGCCGCCCCCTGTTGCAGTTGCCTCATCATATTCTGGAGTCCACCAACGCCGCCCATCTGTTGCAGCATCCGGGGGTCAATCATCTTGGCCATCTGCTGGTTAAGCTTGGCCATCTGTGTGGGATTTACGTTCTTGGTCATATCACCCTGCTTAAACAGGCCCTTTACGCCGCCCATCTTCTTGACCACCGCCGCGAATTTCGTATAGTGTGCAATCAGTTCCTTGACTTCGCGCTCCAGGACGCCAGCTCCTTGGGCTACGCGAACGCTTCGGTTTGGCTGCTTGCTGAAGAGCTTGGCTCCATCACGGTTGTCCAGTTCGTTGTCTGACATACTGTCCATCATCGTCATCATCCGCTTGATGCGTGCCATCGACTCCTGTTCGCCACCCTTGGTCATAAAGTCTTGCGAGAAGCCGGGAATCATGTTCATGATCTGCGAGAACGGGCCCATCTTCATAATGTTCTGGAACTGCTCGTACATATCGCGGATAGTGAAGTGGCCGTGCTTAATTTTCTCCAAAAGCTCCTCGTTGCCATCCAGCTTCAATTCGTTCACCTGTAAAAAAATTAAGATGATCAGTATAATTCTTGCAAGGCTAAATATCCTCAGCATGGAACATATTTAAATATAGTTGTATAGCTCACCTTGTCTATCAGCCCCTCGATGTCGCCCATACCGAGCAGCTTGCTCACGAAGGGTTTCGTCTTAAAGGGCTCCAGATCGTCGATATGCTCGCCCGTGCCAATGAAGATAATGGGGGACTGCGTGGCGGCAACGGCAGAAAGAGCACCACCTCCCTTGGCATGGCCATCCAACTTGGTGATAATCACCGAACCAATGTCGACCTTATCTTTGAAAGCCTTCGCTTGAGCCTCACAAGCCTGTCCGATGGTGGCATCCATCACGAAGATGATGTTGTCGGGATTAACCGCATTCGACACGGCCAACATCTCCTCAAACAGGGATTCCTCCTGCTTGTGGCGACCTGAGGTGTCCACGATGATCATCTCGAAGCCCTCGCGTTTGAACATATCCACGCCCTCCTGAGCAATGACCACGGGATCGATTTCCGTGTAGCTGCCGTAGAAGGGAATGCGAGCCTTGGTGGCGTTCTGCTTGATCTGATCGTAGGCACCGGCACGGAAGGTATCGGCGCACACGAGGCAGGACTTCCAGTTGCGTTTTTGGTAGTGATAGGCCAGCTTGGTACAGGTTGTGGTCTTTCCGGATCCTTGAAGACCCACAAACATGATCACGTTAGCTTTTCCCTTGATGGGTTGGTAGGGCTTCACACCGGGATCGACCAGTTTGACGAGCTCCTTGAACACGGCCGACTGGATCATCCGACGTTTGTTTAGACCTCCAGCCATCTCATCGAAGTCAATGACGGCGCGGACATTCTCGCGCAGCTGCTTTACCAGCCGGATGTTCACATCGGCTTCCAGGAGGGCCGCGCAAATCTCCTTAAGCATGGAATTTAGGGCCTCCTCATTGATTACGGTCGCCTTGCTGAGCGAGTGCAGCGCCGTCGTTATCTTGCGTCCCAAATCCGCGAGAACCATCTTGCTGGTGGTGGTTGTGTGTGGTGTGGCGTACGGACTACTTTCAGTTTCTGAATTTTGTCGGGACTAAAAGTGAGAGTGCAGATAAATTATATATTTTTTGGACTTTCTTTGCCTGACACGTCGATGTGTAAGAGGAAGATATTGCTGACCACTGGAAATTCGCAGTGTGCGCGTGTGCATCTGTCAAAACAAAACAGTCTATCGGTTATCGATTGCTGGTCGCAGCGAATGGCATTTATATAAATTTGAAGAAAACTTAATATAAAAAAAACTAAAGGAAATTGATGCGATTTAAAAGCAAGCAATTATTCAAATTGTATATTCACCTTAGCAGTAAACAATAGAAAACATAAGTGTTTCTAATTTTTGGAGCTTGTTTAAAATAGCTAAATGAGGACTTAAAAAAGCTAAATTTGCATCCCTTGTAAATAGATATTTTGAATTTGTTGCGAACTTCTCGCGGTCTTAAATTTGTTCATTGGATATATGGGGGTCAAGGAGTTATGGGGAGTGCTCACACCCCACTGTGAACGAAAACCTATTAATGAACTGCGTGGCAAGAAAGTGGCCATTGATTTAGCAGGCTGGGTGTGCGAGTCCTTAAATGTTGTTGACTATTTTGTGCACCCGAGGCATCACTTAAAGTGGGTTTCAAACAACTTTAAACATTAACATTTTAATAACAGCTTTTATTATTTTCAACCTTTAGAAATCTTTTCTTTCGCACCTGTTATTTAATTTGGGAACAGGTCACTCCTGTTTTCGTTTTGGAAGGGGTCGCTCCAAAACTCAAGAGCCAAGTGATAGCCAAAAGAAATGAACTCCAATTCCGGGGAGTAAAACCTAAGAATTCTCCTGAATGTACTCAAACCCAGGCTCCCAAAGGCGACAAAGGACGAACCCGGTTCAATCATGTTCTCAAACAGTGTGAAAATCTTCTTCTCTCCATGGGAATCCAGTGCGTCCAAGGTCCTGGCGAAGCGGAGGCCTACTGCGCCTTTCTCAACAAGCATGGAGTAAGAACAGATCAATATTCCAAATTTAATTTCTAATTAAAAAAATCGTTTAATATTCTCCAAGTTGGTGGATGGCGTTATCAGTCAGGATTCGGACTGCTTTGCCTATGGAGCCCTACGAGTTTATCGCAACTTCTCAGTTTCCACCCAAGGAGCCCAAGCAGCTGCTGGCGGCGCTGTGGACATCTACGATATGAGGGACATCACCGCCCGCATGGACTTCGGTCAGCATAAAATCATTGTGATGGCTCTGCTTTGCGGATGTGACTACTGCCCCGACGGCATTGGTGGAATTGGAAAGGATGGTGTTTTAAAACTCTTCAACAAGTACAAGGACACTGAGATTCTGGAAAAGTAATTTATCAAAGAGAGAGTTTTGTTCAGGTTTCATAGCCCACCTCTTTTTAGACTAAGGAACTGGCGCAAGGAAACAGACAAATACAACGCTCTGGAAATTCGCGTGGATGATAAATCTATCTGCAGCAATTGTGGGCACATTGGGAAAACCCAGAGCCACACAAAAAGTGGTTGCAGTGTTTGTCACACCCACAGAGGCTGTGATGAAAGTCTTTGGAAGTAAGTCATTCCATAAATATAAAATTAAGGTATATGAATTTTACTATTTCTACTTTAGAGAACAGCGATTATCCATCAAGGCAGAATTAACTTTGCGCAGAAAAGCCTTGTTAGCTGAAGATTTCCCCAATGAAGAGATTATTGCCGAGTTCCTTAGTGAACCTTCTAAAATACCAACACTTAATCTTAATTGGCGGCAACCAAATCTGGTGAAATTCATCAAGCAAATAGGACACCTATTGCAATGGCCGGAGATATACTGCTTTCAAAAGTTCTTCCCCATTCTCACGCGCTGGCAGGTCCAGCAAACAAAAAAGGAGAACATCCTTATTGAGCCAATTGAAATCATTAAAAAGCGCACGGTTAAAGGCGTGGCCAGTTTGGAACTGCGCTGGCATGATCCAAGCGGCAGTTTTAAAGGTCTCATTCCTGACAACCAGATTGCCGAGTTTGAATTGGAGCATCCAAAGGGAATAGAAGAACTTTACTACACTATTGAGCCATTGGACATGCTGGAGACAGCGTATCCAGAATTGGTGTCTGCCTTCTTGAAGTCTAAGGAAAAGCCCGCCAAGAAACCCACAAGAAAGAAGAAAACTGCAGCAGAGGAAGAAGACAAGGAAAATGAGCCAAAACCAAAGCCGAAACGGGCCGTTAAAAAGAAAAAGGATGTACCTGATCAAAATCAGCCTTTATTACAACAATTTTTGAGGCGTGACAAAGAAAGTACTCCAGTCAAGAGTTCTGCTCCACAACGCCAGCAATGTTCAACTCCCATAACCAAGTTCGTGCCTTCAGACCTGGAGAGCGACTGTGATGCTGAGGTGTTCGACATGTCTGATATTGTAAATGGTATTATATCAAATCCAAATTCCAAGCCAGCACTGACCAAACACGAAGGACACCAGCTGCATTACGAATCAATGGCTGAGGATTTAAGCTTGCGAATGGCGCAAATGAGTTTGGGAAACAAAGAGGACTCTCCTCTGGAAAAAGAAAAGAAAAGAGACCTTTCACAAATCGAACAACTACCACAGAGTAAGCGGCTGTCGTTAGATGACAGCTTCGATTTACTGGTAAAGGGAGACCGAAATTTTGCCAAGACTCCAGTAGAGCGGTTCAAGCTCCAACACCGCCTAAGCGAAAAGATTCCAACTCCAGTAAAGCCTTTAGCTAATATAAGTTACTTTTTTGATCAAAGTTCCAACAATGCCGACGTCTTTGAGGAACTAATGAACTCGAGCTTGGCGCCGCAGGATCAAGAGGACAACGAAGAAGAGGAAGAAGATGAAGACCTAATATTAATTAGTGATTAAACAAATATTATACATAATAATTCTTCACATTTTAATTCTTTCAAAGGGGCAAGCTTACAGCTAGCACATTTGGAGGGTAATCACAACTAATTCCTACAGATAAAGCTTAGCGTACGAGTGTGCCTTTGACATTGCCTGATCCAGCTGTTCCTCAAAAAGGTTGCTGCTGACCCTTCGGCCCTTCATATTGCATACGGCTTGCGGATTCTGACCCTTGGGCACAGCTATCTGACCTCCAAAGGTTTCTGCGAACGATTGCAGCCATGCGGAAGCGTTAAATTGTTCTGTGATGCAGTTTGCTGGTACACAGCAGCGCGCCTTGACCACGCTATCACACATGCTGATCACAAGAACTGGGCGATCCTGGCAGAGTTTGGTGGCCCGTTGCAGAGGAATCTCCTCCACAAGAGCGGAGCTGGTGATATAGTGCAGGATGAAGGGGTGAGTATCCAGAGGCTTTTCCTGCAGCAGGTTCCGCATCTCCACATCCACAAATTCCCTGGAAATATCGTGGTTAAAAATATGTAAATTAGTAATTGTTAAGCCACACTTACTTCAGGGTTGTGCGAGAAGAATCTTTGATTCTTTTTAGCATCTCGGTGATGCGCTCCAGCGTATCCATCTTAAACGCGTATGGCAGCTTAATGTCCGTGTGCAGCATGTTGTGACGAATTGTCTGCAGTTCCCCCTCAGTTGCATTTGTGAGTTTATTAGTTTGAAACTGTTTCTCGAGAAGATCCACGCGATGGCGAAGCAAGGCAGCAGTTTTTAGCACCTAAACAGAAAATAGCGAAATGTGTGGATCGTCATTTTAAAGGCAGATGTTATAACTACTCACATTTTCCGCCGCCTGGCCAGCCACAGCGGTGAAGGAGAATCTCGCTCGGTTTGTCTGCTTTAAATTGACAATGCAGAAGCAGGATAGTTCACTGGTATTGGTTGCATGGGTGCCACAGCACAGCTCCTTAGAGCTAAGATGCAGTTCGGGGCTATTCACGTTGACCAGACGCAATCCCTGCTCTGGATAGACCTCTCCGGGCACCATGGTGATGTCATTTTGTTGGAGGACTTCTGCGGCACTCAGCAACTCAACGTTAACCGGCGTGGAAGAGCAGATGATGCGACTGAGTTACAAAAAAATCAGTTATATGTAGCAACGTTTGTGTTTAAGATGTTACTCACTTGATCAGATCTTCGATGAGCTGTACATCGGTTTTCTGGATGCGTTTTCCTAGAAGACCCACTTCCAGTTTGCACTGATCACTGGTCACTGAGCTTGACACCTGGTAGGTCACCTTCTTAAAGAGTGAACGGATGGCAGCGTTTAGCAGATGGGTGGCTAAAAAGCATAAGGTTTTTTTTTAGGAAATGTATAACTTCTGACATCCTTCCATCTCACCTGTATGATGACACGTGTTTAATTGTCTCTGCTGGGCATCCACCTGCAGTTCCACTTCGTCTCCGATTGCCAACTCAAAAGCATCCGAGGGACTGGATAATTTACAGACATGAACCACACAGTCGTTGAGATGTTTTACACAGACCACGTTCAGTAAATGAGGATTCTCTGGCTGATGGTGATTTTTCACAAGTATCTTTCCACCATCCGATTGTTGACCTCCGGATTCATAATAGAAGTTGCTAGCTGTAGTGACAATTGAAATAAGATCGGTTGAGGGAGCCTGTATGCGACTGCCTTGGGTTCGTGACACTTCCGCATCGTTGAGGAGCATTCCCTGTACTCGAGTCTTAAGAGGAGGTATCTGGTACGAATCACTCTCCTTGTCGAAGGAGTAGGCATATTTGTGACTGTTGTCGGTGGGTTTCAGACGTTTTGTTAACTTAGCCTGAGCCTCGCCAATGCGTTGTTCATTAGCCAAGTCGCAAGGAGATCCCTCGATCTCTTTCTGGATGCCCTTGGCTTTCATCTTGGCCAGACTGATCTCCGCCCTGTACCGCTCCAGATCACAATTCATGTTCTCCAATTCAGCCAGCTTGAGGAAGCTCTCTTCAGTAAGCCCATAGGTGTCCGTTAACTTGTAAAGGAAGTCCCCTGGAATTGTGTTGTTGGAAAACTTGCAGCGTTGCACTTGAAACTCTCGGTAGGCGGGCACGAATCCTGGACACTCCATTAAATCAATATCGTCCAGATTGGGAAACTCGGTAAGGACCTCAGCAAACGCTTTGGAAGAACTTTCTCTTAGATTTTTGTACACCTCTTGCTCGTGGTTAATTAAGTCGATGACTGCCTGTTGTTTGGCTGACATCTCGGGATAAGCCTCCCCAAGAGTCTCCACCACAATGGGAACTAGTTGGGTCAGCAACTTTTCATGGGCAAAAACATGCTCCGAAATGTTAAGAGCTTTGCGCAGCACACGCCGCAGTTTTTGACTGAAACGAGAATGCCATTAGTAAAGTATTTAGTAGAGCTACACAGTAAGCTTACTTCTGATCAGGAAGCATTCCATCAGCCAAACAGGCAGTAATCATACGTGCATGATCGGCGAGTATTCTGTAGCTGGTGTCCAACAGTGCTGAATTTGCTCCATCCGGAAAACTTCCACTGTAAACCGGAGCCTTAGCCTCTTGTTGGATGCCATCAAATATCGGCGTGAACAAATCGGTATCATAGTTGGAAGTCTTGTTTTGGAGCACCGCAGTTAAACGCTCAAAACCCATTCCGGTGTCAACATGATGGGCGGGTAGTTGAGATATGCTGCCATCCGCGTGTCTAAAATTACATAAAAATATTTTAGTTAGAATTACATTGCATTTAAATTCAAATTCCCACCGATTGTACTGTATAAAAACAAGATTCCACAGCTCTGTGAGATCGGAGCGACCAGCGTTTACTAATTTAGCTCTTTGCTCCACGCTTCCAAGATCTGGACGATGATCTATATGGATCTCAGTGCAAGGGCCACATGGTCCAGTGGCTCCCATTTCCCAAAAGTTGTCTGCGCAGCCAAATGGTAAAATCCGCGAGGAGGGAAAACTGCAGTGAATGAATTTTTATTATAAAAATTGACCTGTGCTTATGTAAGAGTTTATACCCCAAGCTTCTCCAGATCTCAAAGCACTCCAGATCAGCTTGTATACCCAGCACCTTATCGCCAGCAAAGTAGGTTACATATAGGCGACCTGGATCGATATTGTAGGGTCCGCGGAGCAGTTCCAAAGCCATGGCACAAGCCTCCCGCTTAAAAATATAAGGAAAATGATTTTGCGAAAATAGAAAGCAATAATGGAAACCCACCTTGAAGTAATCCCCGAACGACCAATTTCCCAGCATCTCAAAGAAAGTGTGATGATACCCATCTGTGCCGACGACGGATAGGTCATTGTGTTTCCCACCAACACGGACGCACTTTTGGGAATTGACCACCCGTTTGTAGGGCGCTTCTGCTGTACCCAGGAATACCGATTTAAACTGGAATAGAAACCGTGGAATTAACAAGCAAACAATGGCATTTAGTTTTCCCTGTTACCTCACCTGATTCATGCCCGCGTTAACGAAAGCCACCGTGGGGTCACAAAAAGGCACCACCGGGCTGGAGCGGACGAACTTGTGCCCATGGTTCAGAGTGAAGTGGTCCAGGAACGTCTTCCGAATCTCGCGCGCTGTCAGCACGCGCTGCAGCTGTTTGGCCGAGTTGTACATGCCGCAGTTTAATTAAAACCGGCAATTAAAATCTCTCGGCAGAAATCTGAGTCCGAACAGCTGATAGACTAGCCGTTCACCACGAACCTAAAAAAAATATACCATTCGCCGTGCAACGCCTTCAGCCGTGCAGCTGTTCTATTTTTTACAGGCGCAACACGTATATTTTGGCCATAATAAAAAGTTCTAAATTAACATAGAACATCCAGAAAAATTAGTTAAGCTGGATACAAATTACCTAAATTAAGCTGGTAAATTTGTGTGACAGATTTTTGACCGGAACAACCACGGTATGTTTGCATATCAAGCGCTGAACTTTGACACCCACAGCTCTTCCGCTTTCACTTTCACTCTTCTTGCAGTATAACCAAAAACGGCAGAAAACAACGCAGTTCTCAACTGGCTTACTTTGAACCCTCGAACCAAGTCCAGCAATGGCTACAAAAAGGCGACCCCTGCGGCCCAATTTAGGCGGTACTCCAGGAAGCTCCTCCTCCGGCTCCAATATGAACTTCAGACCTGGAGGACCTGATATCACCCGTGCGGAGGCCCGAGGAACGAGACCCACGGCGGCACCAACTAGTATCCGCGAGATCCTGGTCATGGGAGTGATCCACCTGTGCAAGAAGACCATATTCTTTAACACGGACCTCAAGGTGGCTTTGTATTTGGGCAGTCTTTTTGTGCTCTCCGTGATTGGGGACTTTGTGCCCTTCCCAAAGACCTACTTTGCAAGATCGGACAACTTGTTCAACCAGTACTTCGTAAAAGTGGGTTGGGGTTGGACCTTACTTTTTGTAGTTCCATTCTTGGTTCTCTCTGCCTATACGATCACTTGTGGAGACCACAAACGAATGCTGCGACACCATTTCCCCCGCATAGTCATAGCCACCTTCTTTTGGTTTTTCTGGACGAAGCTATTTAACGTAGTTGAAAGCTCTTATGGTCGCTGCACAACAAAAGGTGTGTTTGAGAAAATCCTATAAGGAAATTTTTAATACCCAATCTTTGTAATTCCAGGTTTTGTGAGCAAATCAAGCTGTCTGAAAGCGGGACACTTGTGGAAGGGCTTCGACATATCCGGACATGCGTTTATACTGATTCACTCCAGCCTGGTGCTGATTGAGGAGGCGCGTCCCATCATCCGTTGGGAGACCATCAAGGAGCACATTCGCAACGAGCGTCATAATCGCAGTGCGTCCGAAAACTCGGGCACGAATCCCTTGAGGACCTTGAATGAGGAGCAGATGCGCAGTCTGCAATTTTTGTACAAGCGCCTGACGCCCATCATCCGCACCTTGTTCATCGGCATGGCGGCCCTGCAACTGCTGTGGGACATAATGCTGGTGGGCACTATGCTGTACTACCACCGTATGATCGAGAAGGTGATCAGTGGCATTATTGCCATACTCACCTGGTACTTTACCTACCGATTCTGGTATCCCACGCCGGGTTTGCTCCCAGAGGCGCCAGGAAGTGGAAGCTTCAGTTACCAACGCGAAATTCCTACCTTCCCGTTCAAGCGTCCCTCGCATTTAGCAACGGGTGCCGCCACAAGCTCGGGATCTAGTAGCTCGCGGACAAACCTTAATGGCAAGACAGGAACTACGGGCGTTCGGCCGGATCAACAGATGCCTACTTTCATGGGAATGCCGCTGTTCACCACCCCGAAGGCGGCCAGTGCCGCCGCTAGTTTCCTACAGGCCGAGCAGCAAAAGCGGGACAGGGAACGCGAGCAACAGACGCTGGAGAGCTGAGCCCTGCGAAGATTTGCTTGGCAGAGCCATTATGCATAGCAGGAATTGATAATTAGGTGACGGATTGGAATTTATACCAAATTTTTTGTATATTCAACGACGATGAAATGATGAACCAATGACATTTTCAAGCAGCCGAGGCTGGCACTGGATCGCGTTCTGCTCCTCATCCTCCTCCTTTTTCGCTTCTTACCATGACCACCCGCATCCTTCATCAGCAGTGCGTAGCTTTAAGCGTTCTTATGTTCGTGTTTATATGTGCCCAACTTTAACAGTAAAAGGATTTGTTAACAAAGTCTGGTGTTCCGATCCTCCGCTCACTTGTGCGCGAAGGCGGCAAACATGGCCATACCCAGGAAGCCGGCTCCTGCTCCTAGTTTGTAATTGCCCGGCGTCCGCATCCACATCTCGCGCAGTATGGCAAAGTTGCTCGGCTGCAGGCGGTGGAAGGATTCGCGTTGTCGGAAACGCAGGAAGTAGGCCTCCACCTGGGGAAGTTTGCCAAAGGCCCAGAACTGGTTCTCGAAACCCAGTTGATAGAGCCGGTGGAGCAGAAGTCCCAGTGAGATATCTGCCACGGTGAGCTCATCGCCGGTGAGCCATTCGCTGCGCGGCGCTTGAGCGGAGAGTTCCTGCTCCACATAAAGCAGAAAGTGGCGCACAGCATCCAATACTTTCTGGAATTCCTCGCGGGAGGAGGCTAGTTCATGTCGCCGCAGTTGGATGTCTAGCTTGTGCTGCAGCGCTGCCTTGTTGCTTGCCTGATCATCAACGGAGCGGCGCAGTAGGTCCAACACCTTGCCATTATTTTCTGCGGGGAGTATGAATTTTAGGCTAATTTTCATAGGTTAAATGATGGCTAAGGATTAACTTACTCAGACAGGACTGGCGTACAGGTCCAATGAAAGGCGCCTTGGGTACCAGCTTCAGATCATCGTGGATAAAGGAGCCCAGACTAAGAGTTCCCACTGGCAAGCGACTAATTGCTTGTTCGTACACCAAAATCTGATCGAACTCCTTGGAGTTGTGCGGGGGTTTAAGCGGACGATAAGCGCCTGTAAAAAGTTAGTTTAGTTAATAAGACTTTTCAAAGTACTTAGTGATCACTTACCTCCTCGGTACTTGCTCTCGACATAGTTGATTATATGCGTCGAATTAGGAATAACAAAAGCCCCGTCTTGGAGCACTGGAACATCGCCCTTTGGATTGAGGTTTAGGAACCAGTTGGAGTACTGCTCTCCGTTGCACAGATCAACCACATATGGAAAAAAGTCGATTTTCTTCTCGTAGAAAACCATGAGAACCTGTGAATGTAGGTTAAAGATAATTCTTAAAATACTTTATAAGATTGGTGAATCAACAAAAGGGGAATTTTTATAAATTTAAAACTAAACGAAACAACATACACTAGATGTTCCCTGTAAAATCCAAATCAAAAGAAATTATATTTTTTATAAATATCTTGAAAAACAAAGAGGTTTTAATAAAGTTAAATTTATTTGCTTGTCAAACTGATGTCAAAAATGGTTAAAAATGGACTTGTTGAAAATTCATTCATTCAAAATTAATAACTAACTAATGATGCAGCTCAAGGGTATAAAAAGGTTTAATTATTTCGCTTCAGTTGTTATTGTACGCTCTGCTACTGTATATTCTCGTTCGTAGGTTTGTTTACTTTCGCATTTATATTATTTTGTTTTTTCCACTCAATCCGCCTCATTAGCACCTGCAGTAGCTAAATAAATAGTGTATAAATCTAACCTATGCTGTCATGATCTATACACCAGTCCAATTTCTAGCGACTCCAATAAATAAATAGTGTATAAATCTAACCTATGCTGTCATGATCTATAGACCAGCCCAATTTCTAACGACTCCACTTCATTTCCGACATGCCACTCGCCAAGTCATGCTCCATTGCTCCCGAGAATTGAGAGATTTAATAAAGATCGTGGGTGGAGAACCTTCACAGCGGGGGCACCCCATTATTTCATCAAAAAAAAAACACTATGATGACTCCAACTGACGATGATTAGTTTTGTAATTTCGCGGCATTAGCTGATGGATCGGGTAGGGCAAATAATTTTTTTTTTGAAGATCACATGATTAGAGCGGTTACTAACTTTTTGCGCATGGAAGTTGTACGGATGGAAGAAGAGCACCGGTTTGTTGTCCGGGAGATCGGGAGCCTTGAAATCCTGAACAGAAGGAGGGATGGCCTCAATCTCTTTGGCTTGGTCACTCATTTTATTTTTTGGTTATTTATATAATATTATTTTATTAAAATTTTATTTTATAATTTTTTTTATAATTATCACTAGTTTGTCGTTTAGGTTTGCACTAGCATAGGGCTTTTCGTATATCACATGCCCTGGCAAAGCCGTTAGCGCGTGCGGCACTGAATCGGGGAGCCGGAGACGAACTTGAGGACAAGAAGCGACTACGGGAAACTGGTACTACTTCCGCCGACGACTACGACTATAATGAAATGAGATCCGCCGGTTGCTGAAGCTAAAGCCGCTCCGACCTCTTCCCAATTCGCACATTTAGCTGTTTGTTCTACAGTCTACGTATACGTATATGCTTTGGAATCAGAAAAACTTTATTATGTCAAGCGGTTCTCTTTTACTTTGCGATTTTGTTTGTCGTACTTATTTATCTTTGTTTATATTATTACGAAACGTAGCGTTTATCTTTTATTTGGAGATTTTCTTTTCAAAAAGTCTTATCTGCCAATGACTGAGGATTCAGTGAGTGTTTTAAAGTGGAACATTAATTGAACCCATTGAATTAGTTTAATTTATATTTTAAGAAATGATAATCATAATAATGTTGGTTTGTGGTTTGGTGGTTTGCTTAGTAAGCAAAAGCAAATATAACTTTCAAACTTTTTAAATTTGGCGCCAATGACATAATAAGCTTTTTTTACTGCTGTGAATGGCAAGCCGCGTGAAAGAGGAAGAATCGGTAAACCAATTGGAGATTTGCGCGCACAGCAAAAAAATTAGGAAAATCAATTGTTTGGCAAGAAATCCTTAGATCCTTATTGCAATTTTAGCTTAAAAAATGCTAAGTTGGGGTAAACAACTGGTGGTCAGGGCGCCAAAGATCCGTTGGACTGCTTGCGCTGTGAGTGGAAGTGGTCAAAGTTCAAGTCTCGATCAAAACAGCAACAATTACAGCCCAAACCTTGTTGGCCCTAATCTTAATCAATGCCACAAACGCTTGTCCAGCACTAGTCAAAGTTCGAACGTGAGTCCAATGAAGCGTTTAGCCGGAAAAGTTGCCGTGGTCACCGCCTCCACAGATGGGTAAGGGGTCAAAGGACACTTAATAGTATTTTTCTATTTTCCCAATTCATCCCGATCGATGCATTTCAGCATTGGCTTTGCTATTGCCAAACGATTGGCCGAAGATGGTGCTTCGGTAGTCATCAGCAGCCGAAAGCAAAAGAACGTGGACTCTGCTCTAGCGGAGCTGCGCAAATTGAACCTTAATGTGCACGGACTCAAGTGCCATGTTAGTGAGCCGCAGGACCGCAAGCAGCTCTTCGAGGAAACTATCAGCAAGTTTGGCAAGCTCAATATCCTAGTCAGTAACGCCGCCACTAATCCTGCGGTGGGTGGAGTCCTTGAGTGCGACGAAAAGGTCTGGGACAAGATCTTCGATGTGAATGTAAAGAGTTCTTATCTACTGGCCAAAGAGGCACTACCTTTGCTCCGTCAGCAAAAAGATTCCAGCATTGTTTTCGTCTCCTCCATTGCGGGCTATGATGCTTTCGAGGTTTGTTTCCTTATCAGTGGTTCAGTGGTTAAATGCTTATCAGTTTTAATCTTGTAGCTTCTTGGAGCTTACTCCGTAAGCAAAACAGCACTTATTGGTTTGACCAAGGCTGCCGCTAAGGATCTGGCGCCGGAGGGCATTCGCGTCAATTGCCTGGCCCCAGGAGTCATCAGGACCAAGTTCTCCAAAGCTCTTTATGAGAATGAATCGGCCAACGAAGCTGCTTTAAGCAAAATCCCCATGGGTCGCCTGGGCACCAGTGAAGAAATGGCTGGCGTAGTATCCTTTTTGGTATCCGAAGATGCGGGCTACATAACAGGGGAATCTATTGTGGCCGGCGGCGGAATGACTGCGCGTTTGTAAGCGGTGTACATAAATATATTTCCTTACATCCTATGGATAACAGCGGTGTTCACAGTAGTTACAAAATAGAATAGCAAAAGTCAAAGGACTAAGAGGATCGCAGCTTGGCCAACTGGTCGGCAATGTCCTTTTCGGTACGTTTGCCGCTTGTTTCGAAGTCTGAGGTTCCCGTGGCCGGGATGCTGGACATCTTGCCGGAGATTTCGATGCCGATCTCGTCGAGAACTTTGTTGACAACGGCATTGGACTCCTCCTCGTCGCCTGATTCGTTAAGCATATCGTCCAATGTGTCGTTAATCATCTCGTCCGTCATCTCCATCTTCATGTTGGCCGCCTGGAACTGGCGAACGGTTTCCCCCAATGGCCTCCGGTCGCATAACCTTGTTCATTTCGCCCATCGTCTTGGCAGTGGTACCCATAGCTTCGCTTAGAGCAATATTGGCGCCCATGTTTTTGTTTTGGTAGCCAATGGACTGGATTTTTCCGGCAGCTGCGTAGGTGCGCGACTTCTGCTTCCTGATCTCCACTAGCTGTTTGGCCAAGATGCGGCAGGCATCGTTGTTCCCAGCAGCGGCATTGCGACGGATTTCTAGCTCCAGCTTGCGCTCCTCCTCCTCCATTTTCCTGCGCTCTCGTTCGATGTCCCTGGTGGCCTTACGCAGAGATCGATCGTTCTCCCGCTGTTGCTCCTTTACGGTGGGCTTCTTTCCGAAAAGATTGTTGAACATTTTGGAATTTTGTGCGAGTTCAGACTTAGTTTTCTGACTTCTACTACTGTTGTGGTGGTTTTTCCTGAAGATGAATCACTCGGAGATTGGATTGGCGCATTAGGAGTAAACATAAAAAGGCAAACAGCTGACAGCTGTTCTGAACGCGTTTCATTGTGAATGTTTATTAGGGAGATGGACAAAGTTTAAAACTCGTTTATGGAAAAAATATAAAACATTTCTTTAATTACATAGCTAATTTTCCGTTATTTTATTCTTTTATATAAAAAGAAAAACAAATTAAAAGTTTATTTAAAAAAGTTAAACCTATGATTTTTTTTACCTACGCCCCTGAGTGGGGTTGCCACTTTTTGATTCGCACTAAAGAGCCGGCTTGTTTTTAACCGAATCGAAAATGTCTTTGGAAATCCTTAAACAAGGCGCCGAGGGGCGTCTGTATTTGGGCGATTTCAAAGGAGAAGCCTGCCTGATCAAGGAGCGGTTCGTGAAAAAGTACCGCCACCCGGAACTGGACACCCAGATCACGCGGCAGCGCATGAAAGCTGAGGCAAAAGCGGCCGGACGATGCCTGGACGCCGGAATTTTGGCCCCGAGGATCCTCCACTCGGACCTCAACAACCACAAGCTCTATATGGAGTACTTTGACAAAGCAAAGACAGCCAAGCAATTTATTCAAGATATAGTAACCAGCCATTCAGAGTCAGAGTCGCAGAAATCCTTGCAAGAATTATGCACGAGAATCGGAAAGATCATTGGCAAAATGCACTGCCATCATATCATACACGGTGATCTAACCACTTCAAACATCCTCATCAATCCAAAAGGGGGTGATTATGATGTGATATTCATCGACTTCGGATTAAGCCACTACAACCAGGCCACCGAGGACAAGGGCGTGGATTTGTATGTCCTAGAACGGGCGCTGCTAAGTACGCACAGCGAGCAACCTTACTTATTTGAGCATATTCTTAACGCTTATCGTTATGAATGCGGAAAGGATGTGGGAGCCGTTCTAACCAAGTTCGAGGAGGTAAGAGCCCGAGGACGCAAACGGACTATGATTGGTTAACAAATAATAAACTTTAATATGAGTTACATTGTTAAACTTATTCTATTCTCTTTAGAGGCTCTCTGGGAGGGTCATCCTGAAGTTTGTCTATATTAATCTTCTTGATGTATTTTCGCAATTTGGTCTTGCGTTTAAGCTGCTCGTGCTTGAGTGGTTCCAATCCCTCGACGGGAGGCACTTTGTATTTCTCATATGGACGCTCCTTTACCTTGGCGATGGCATCTTCCAGCTTTAGGCCAGCCAATCCCAGCTCCTCGTAGTACAGGCGGTATTTATCACAGAATTTAGAGTGTCCCTTTTTGAAGGAGACTGTCTTGGTCGAGGGGTGCTGCAGGAGATATGTATTATGAATTTAGCTAGAGGAAACAAATGTCTAAACTCACCCTGGCATCAATGGCCCTAGCACATCCCCTGTGAAAGTTGTGCAGATGGCGAAGGAAGGTTTCGTTGGGCTTAATTCCCTCCTCTAAGCTCAACTGAATGATCGCGTTAATGTAGCCGAAGGATTTGTTGGCGCATCCCTGCCGCAGCATGGCGCCAAGAATGGGCATGTTCATCTTTATGCCCGCCACCTTCATCTGTTCCAGCAGTTCCCTAGCCTCTTCCTGGGTCCGACATCCCAAAGCGAGGACACCATAGGTGACGATATCTGGCCGCAAGCCTGCTGTGCGAATCATAGAGAGCACCTCTCGCGCGCTCTCATAATCGAAACGCATCGATCGCTTCTTAATCAGTATGTTGAAAAAGTCAATGTCCGCCTTAAGTCCAATTTTGCGCACAAAAGTGAGCAACTGCTTTTCTGCTGCGTTTGTAGGCGGTATTACCTCCAACATAGTAGTAAACGTTTCAATGTCAGGTGTGATTTTATGCTGTTTCATGTGTTCTAGAAAACCTGTAAGCCCACCGAGAAGCAAAAATCGCTCGTGGGGACGTGTAACCTCCTCCAATGCCACCAAACTTCCCAAATGAGGCCGTGCAAGCAAAAGATTGGGTAGCTCCAGCTCACTTGCTGATGTGGACACCTCGATTTGGGCAGGCAACGAAGTGGAGCTTGAAGATATACTGGGTAAATCACCTTTCACGCCGTCCTCCAACTGCAGAACAGGATTTTGCCTAGCTGCTGCAGGGGCAATTTGATCGAGAACTTCGCGCATCGATTCCAAATCACCAAAGCCACAATCTCTGACACATCTCAGCATTGCATTGAAGCTGTAGTAGTCTGGGTTTACTCCCCGCTGCAACATTTTGTGCCAGGTAAGCAGGGCATGTCGAAAGCCATGCTCCGAGTTGCTGGCACACGCCTGCAGAAGAAAGTTAAATGTATCGGCGTTCAGCTCAAGCTGCCTTTCCATCATCTCGTCAGCCAGCATGTAGGCGGTGTCCACATCGCCACATCTTCCATAGGCCTTGATCATTGCATTGTAGTTCTTAACATTCGGTTCGTAGCCCTTTTCCAACATGTTCTCCCGCACGATCTGGGCCTTAGCCAAGCCATCACTTAAAGATGGAGCATTGGCGCAGGCGTTAAAAAGCGAGGTGTAGGTTCCGCCAGTCACTTGGAGGCCCCGTTGACGCATTTTGGTGTACAGGGAAAATGCCTTGCGGGTGTAGCCCGCTTTGGCGCAACCGCTGATCAACAGATTGTATATGTACTTGTCGGGCTTCACGCGATCCTCCCGTAGCATTCTTTGTTCCAGAACGGCAATGGCTTCATTCAAGCGGTTTGCCTTTAGATAATCCTTAATTTGCCGAGCGTACTCAACAGTTTGAAGTTTTTTTGTGTGTCTCGTGGGATTGCTAATAAACTCCTCTTCTTCCACGTCTCCAGGATCGTTAGTTTCACTTATCTTGGCATCTCCAAAGGTATCTGGATCCCCAAAGTCCTGCGCCTTTTTAGAAGTTTCTTTTTTTGGTTTTTTTTCTGGTCGAAATTTGTTGCGGGCTCTGGGCGCAACTGTGGCGGGTTCTTCTATGAGTTCTTCCCGAAAAGGGTTTTGGTTTCTGTTAGCCTCTCTTTTGGTCTGCAGACCGGCTTCCTGGTCCGTAATCCTCACGTGCACTAGACGATTTTGTGCCGACGACCAAGACGCAGGATGAATAGCTGGCCAATCAATGTTATGGCCACTAAAACCTCTCCTGGTAGCATTTAATTGCAAGCCGCGCATGTGCGATGCCATCGCTCGGTTAAGCAACCGCAGAGCCATGATTTTTTTTTGTAATTTTCTGTGATTTTTATGTAATTAAAAAAAAATATTTCAAACGTGCTACCCGCGGCGGTGTAAATAAAGAAACAGCTGGGGAGTGGTGATGCCACTTGGTGAAAAAAGGCATTCACACAACTACGAAAAAACGACTGTCATTCACATTCCTCGCATACAGCCCCTGCAATCTGACCTGGTTTTGGATTAAATTAGTGAAAATTAGATAAATTAAAAATGAGCATCACCGTGGACCCGCGTCGCAAGGAAAAAATCAACCGCTACAAGGCTCCTAAGAATCAGGGTCAAAGTGGAAGCGCAAACGAAGACATGATGCCGGATTACATGAACATTTTGGGCATGATTTTCTCCATGTGTGGACTGATGATGAAGGTAAGCCCGGCGATAATAACCCAATGACTTGGAATTTATCAACAATTACCATACCCGCAGCTGAAGTGGTGCGCTTGGTTTGCCCTATATTGCTCCTGCATAAGTTTTGCAAGTTCCCGGGCCAGCGACGATGCCAAACAGGTACTCTCTTCCTTCATGCTGAGTGTCAGCGCCGTGGTAATGTCCTACCTCCAGAACCCAGCTGCCATGACCCCGCCATGGGCATCGTAGCACAACATACAATCTAGTCTAGTTTGTCTAGTTTAGATGAAGGTGTATACTTTATTGCGTTCCGAAAAGGATTAAAAGGGACTATGAATTTGACGGCTGACTTCAATAATCAATAACTTATGCAGGCGGTGATGTGGAGGTAGTACAATTTAGCTACTGCGGTGACTCCTCGCACGGCGATTGTGGCTAGGTGATGAGCAGGTAGTAGGCGAACAGCATGAAAGCCACAATGTAGACGGTGCCAAAGATCAGGACGTATTAAATCTCTCCAAAGCGCTGGTGTCCAGTCTGTTTGGCATGTTCCTGAGCCTGAACTTGACCAACCAACCGCACATCGCACTGCATGCATCGCAGCGTGAACTTATCCACATTGGTGTACTGGCGCGAGGATTGTGCCTCGTTGGCCAACTGCTCGGCTTGCTGATAGACGCCCAATTCCTCCACCGGAAAGATGGTGGCCGGAGCAGAACTCTGCGACGTTTCCATGTACAGTGGATCGTAGTGGATGCCATCGAAGAGTAGGAAGACACGGAGTCCAAAGTTCTTGTCTTCGCCAAAGCGGTTAATTATGGCGTTTTGGATGTCCACCACATCGATCTCAATGCCATAATAGTTGGACAGAATGGACACCTCGATGGCGCCGCCCCAAGAGTCGGCTTTTTGTATCCAGGCGCAGTAATCAGCATTGGACTTGCCCAGAACTGCATCATTGTAGCTCTGTGGATCGGCTGCCACTTCCTGGGCAATGATGTGCCGCATCATCTCGCTGCCTTCGTTGTCCACTTTGCCGTTTAGGACGAATCGAATGCTGGTGAAGAGGCACGAGTTGTCTGCTGGCACCACCTTTTTCAGTAGGATGCCATTGAAGTCGCCGTTCGGGCCACTTTCCGTGGGCGCCACTGGGAGATCTGATAGTTGAGCGGGAACTCCTCCTCCGGTTGCCTCCAGCAGCTGGGCCTCCTCTTCGGCCTGCAAACGACGCGCCAGCGCTTCGTCATCGGCCATGGTAGAGCCACCAGGCACAAAGGCAGTGGCAGTGGGTGCGGCAGTGGGTGCAGCTCCAACGGCAGCCTTCTCCTCCACAATCAGCGTCTCTCCGCTGTTGATACCGACCTCCTTGAGGTCACGCTGCTCCTGCTGCTGTGAGAGGTCAAGGGGTTTGGGAGGGTAGCCCACAAGGACGTGCAACTGAGGCGCTTGGATCTGTGTGACCTGTACGATTTTCGTTTTCAGCTCCCCTAGCGTCGTTTGCTCACAAAGGTCGTTGACAATGAATTGACCTTTTTTGGACTTGAGCTTCACACTGAATGATCCCGTCATGTTTTTCAAAGTCCTCTTGTGTGTTGGTGTGTGGGTGTGTATTTTGAGTTTCACTTTAGAATTTTATATTGGCTGTGATTCGATAACTTATATATTGTCTAATTTGGTTTCTTTTTTCCTCTTTTTTCTTTCGATATAATATTTAAGAATCGATAACATGGTGTTACCGGACCATCTAATTTACGTCTGGAAGTGGCAACTTTGTGTTTAAACAGCGCCAAAACCTTGAAATTTAAAAAAACGTGAGTTTTATGAAACATACCGAAATAAAAAATGAATAACAAATAAATATGAAAACCTATTATTAATGAGGCTTAGTTCAAAAAGCCGACATACAAATTTTGGCAGTTATTTCAAAATTCTTATTATTTGTTTTCATTATTTTGTCTTTTTTAGATTAGTTGATTTAGTTGATTTAAAAAGAAATGCACATTTCATCCTTTTTCCAGTATGTAGTTACGTGGATGTTCATACATACATTATCTACATAATTTTACATGTATTCTACTTAGAAACCAAAAAATGCTAAGAGTTGGCAGGTCATTATGCTTTAAACGGCGGCTTCAATTCAAATTAACAATTTTATCAATCCTCCGTCCAGTAATTAAATGCCTTCCAGCAGCCATACTTAAAAAGGCAACTACTTTGGGTAGATTTCGCTACGCCCGCCTATTATGCAGGTGTGAACGAGAAGCTAATGGCTAGACCCGGCGTTAAGGCCAATGTCAAGACGCTAATTAATATTTAGCAGATATTCCGCTCGCAGCTAATGGCCAAGTCAAATAGAACCCAGAACCAAGGAAACACCGATTAGCAAAAAGAAGCGGAGCCGGAGAAACCACAAGTCAACAAATGGCCCAAACATCAGGCTCAAAAGCCCAACAATGGAACCACAAAAAGGTAGCAAAAAAAGGGAACCCGGCCTTTGTTATCGCCATTGCTCCACATGCGTGGTGGGCTAAAATCACTTTTAATAGTCCAAACAGATTGATTTCCCCCGCTCGTTTCCCGTGTGTCGTCGGATCTCCAACCGCCGCGTTGTTTTAATTTCTATAAAAGACGAGCGGCCTGCCGGCTGAGCAACCGGCAACATTGGCAACTGACTGGCATATAAATAGACGGGTCCGCGGGGTCTGTGATCAGTGCAAGCAGGTCTCTCATCGATCATATATCTCCAGCCCAACCGAAGTCCAGTCAACATGAAATTCTTGCTCCTGGTGCGTCTCTTCAACCCAGTGGATTATACTGTATACAGACTTTACTGACCATGGAGTATTCCAATTAACTGCATTACAGAGCGTGTTCCTTTGCCTGGCCGTCTGCTTCGTGGTCACCAATGCTGCTCCCCGCGAGGAGGCCATTCCCGATGGCATCGAAGGTCCTGGCAGCGAGTCCATCAACCCCTCGGACGACCAGGGATTCCTGCTCAAGCTGAAGCTGCTGAAGAAGCTCCTGTTCCTGGGCTGAGCATCATAGCCCCTCATTTATGGATTTTTAGATTTACTTCTGTGTTTAGGTTTTAAAGAGAAAAGATAAAAAAGACAAATTAAAAAATGTATTTGGTAACAAAACTTCAACTTGGATTTTGTTTGGATTAAAGGTGTCAAAGGCGTATAGCTTGTTTCTCCTAATCGGGATATTAATTTAGTAAAAAGAAATTAAAAAAAAATTTATGCAAACTAAACTTTAGAAATAGAACGATGGTGCGATAAGGTTGCCAAGTTCGTTTCCTAAATCTTTTGTTTTATTTTACAAGTTTAAAATATTTTATTTTTAAAAAAGTTTCTATAAATGAAATCAACCAATTTTAACTATTACAGACTTACGAAGTATTTTCGATAAAACTTTAAATTTAATTTTTTTGTCATGGAAAATTATAATTTAAACTCACTCTTTACGGTGAGTCGACAAACATTTCTTATTTATATACTTAAAAAGGTTTTTCTAGGTCTAAAAATATAAAAAAATTTGTACGCTAAATGTTCAGCAAATGAAATAACATTGACGAAAAGCGTAGCCCATTAATCTCGCTGTGTGAATTCTCGTTTGGCACACAATTAGCACACAGCCGACTTTTCATTTATTTACGGCGGCTATTGGTCAATTTGAACGCGTTTAAGGAAGATTCAGTTCGTTTTTCACACTCTCTCCAAAACAAACAATCCGAAACACGTTTTCCTCTTAGATTAGGGTACACAAAAACTCGACCTGCTGCCAGTCATTAGCTCCTTTTTGATCAGAGAAAGAGATCCCCGAACCGATGACATAAGTAAGCCGACTTGTACGAAAATAACATTTATTTTAACAACGATTACGTATACTTTACTCGTATGTATGTGATCGTGTGTGTGCGTATGGTATTGTCTAAACAAAACGGGCTGAAAATCGAATGCAGCGGGGGAGGCAAGGTTCCCAATAGGTTGGACTAGAATTTAAACTGAGCTCAGCAGACTGCTGGGGAATGCCTTCTAACCCAGGAGCTTCTTCAGCTTGAGCAGCTTCTTCAGCTTGAAGATGGCCTGCGGATCCTGGGGACGCTGGACATCGTCGAAGGACGGCTGGTAGATATTATCCCCGATCAGGGACTCATCCACGGGCACAGCGGACACAAAAGCAATGGCCACAAGGCACACGAAAAGAGTCTGAAAGTGAAAGAAAAAAAGTTAAAAAAAAACAAGGGAATTGAAGCTACAGAAAACTCTGGAAGTTTGAGCTTAAGTCATAGATGTTTTTTGGAAAATGTTTGTCTGGATTTCAAACATTTATTCCTTTAAATTCTTTAAATATTATCTGTAAATGTGGTTTTGAAAATAACTTTCAAAATCGATCGTTGTCACAGGACTCTTAGGACCCTTTTTTTTCTGCTTTTAAAATTACTTATTCTGCTAAATCCAAAAACTCACCAGAGCTAGGTACTTCATGATCGCTTCTGCTGGGTAGATGATGACGCTGATTAATCCAAAAATCGACTGCACCTAGCTCCACCTGCGATCAGGGCCTTTTATAGCCGAACTCTGGGTGACCATCGATGATAATGTCATATGTAAACTGCAGTCTGCAGTGGAGAAGCGGACAAATGAACGATACATAAACAAAAGACCGTCGCATGAACAAAACGGTGAGCGAAAAAGAAGTATCAACAGAAAAACCTGGCCAAAAGCAGACCCAAGAGGCATGGCCCAGATGGGCAGGTGTTTTTTGGGCAGATTTTAGCGGCGAGACCGAAAACCAAAACACCGAAACCAGGCCCTGTTTACTCGCCTTTTGTTTGCCCGCCTAAGCCACTGAAGAAGTTGATCGCTGATTAAATAATAATCGTACTGAGTAAATGAAAACAGCGCCTGAATGAAGGTCAGTTCGAATGCGGTCAGCAGATTCATGTTTACCCTAAATAAGGAAGATAATGTGTAAGTCGTCAGAGGAGGAAGTTAATTACTGGTTCTTAGATCAACAGAGCTGCAAACCGCAACCATCTCAAGTTCACGAACATCTACTGACGCCCTTTTTGATCGATCAATGGCCAAGACAATTAAATAAATTATCGCTCGAGAATGGGATCCATAAATATTTGACACTTTTAACAGCCGTCAAGCCTAAAGCGTCGAACACTGAATCAATAAAAGTAAGCCAAGTGATGGAACCATTTTGGGTTGGGCTTGAGCATAAAAACCAAACAGTGACTGATACGGAGGCCAAGCTTTTCTGCAAAGTCACCGTGGAAGTATCGCAGATGACGAAGATCTTGCATCTGAAAACCGGAAACATTTGCCCTGCTCTCAATATGTAAATTTACGAACTTTCGAGAATGCCGCCACAATGTCAGCATTAGTTCAAAACATTCCGCTGATCGTGCTCCTAAATAAACATGTGTGGAATGGAAACCAAAACAAACACAGCCGGAGCAATATATTAAAAGATTAGATTGAATTAATATCTTTGAGTCAGACTCTGTCGTCGGCTTGTCTCGCATAGATTCATTTCAAGTTTTGTATTTTTCCCATGCCCCTGGCCCTTGTAATTAAGTTATATGGGCGTGGCTGTAACATGTGTGAGATGTCTCAATCCTCGTGAATTTATTGTAGGAGGCAATAATATTTTATAACGCACCCTAAACTTGATGTATGAAAGATTGTACAAAATTTGCAAAAAACTGTGAAAAGAGTTGTGTGTGATATTAATAAGTAAGTTATGCAAAAGCAGTGCCGGATTAGCCATATAGCAGGAGTAGCAAATGCTACGGGCCCCGCGCATTGGGGGGGCCCCGCGCGGCCGCGCTCCAACTCCTACCTATCTGATCGTAAAAAAAACAAAAATTTAGATAGGAACCTAAAAATAATTTGCATGACTTAAGCGTGAAGCGCTTAGGGTATGCTTTACTCCCATCTGAAAATATAAAACTCGATTTCGTCACGTTATATTTTATCTGAAATTAAACCACATTTCTACCCTTCAAGCGGCCAGATTTTCATTTTTTATATAGGTATACATTTATTTTGCGAGTTTACGTAGCCGAGATTGTACTTTTTTTTTTATCGATTTTAATATTATATAGATTATCAGTATTTCGAGAAAAAGTAGGCAAACTATTTAAATTTTATTGACCCAGTCACGTGGTCAGTCACAATCCAATCTACTGTGGTTTGATGATTTATTATAAAATATAGATTCATTTTATGAGTGAACATAGCTTACCTTTATTTGAATCGATTATCATATCGATCATGTTTCGAGAGTATTGAAAGCTAGTAACGGGCCAAGAACGTCTTAATCATCTCACTTTGTTGAATATAGAGCATGATTTGCTTAAAGAAGTCGTTATTGAAAGTGTTATCTCTAAATTTGCCCATATTAAATCCAGAAAAGTTTATTTGTAACAATTTTGTTTTATTTAATACCCTAAACTTGAGAACCTAAAGCAAAGCAAGGGCCCCTTGACAGAATTTGCTACAGGCCCCGCGCTAGCTTAATCCGGCACTGTGCAAAAGTAAGCAAGTGTGGGAACAGAAATGTAATTCAATATTTTAAAGTGCCCTTAAAGATGTTGAAGCTGTTTTGCCGAAAAGCTTACATTTTAAAATATAGTTTATTATATTTTCTTTGTTACCTCACACTTTAATTATTTTATTGGTAATCGTTTGAAGCGTCATAGTCATCTTCTGCTGGCTCCGTGGAAACTTCTACATTTTTCGTCTCGTTTTCAAATTCAGGTGTTTTAGTCGTTTTAGTGTTTTCTTCGCTGCTACTCAACATTGAAGAATCACTTGGTTCAGGTACCATCTTAACGAAGAGTTTGATCCTACAGGTTAGTAATTTAATAACTTCTTCGTATACTTGTATTAGTTCGAAAAGCACGAGATATCTGCCATCAGGTATGCGAACAGGAATCAGTTTGGTTTCAATGGCGGCATTCTCCACGTAGTAAAAGCCAGAGTTTAAGGGACACGAGATGATAAAGGTCGAAGGTAACAGGCTCTCCCCAGGAATCTCTTCAATGGTAATATTTCTGAGGCCATCAAGAAGCTTGCACAGATCCTTGTTCTTTAATCGCATGATGTCCTCCTGCTGGGAGCCACCGACTTCATCGGCCAACTTTCTTACGAAAATGTGCATAAGGAGTTTGCCGGGAAAGGGAACACGAATTGTGAGATTGAAGTTGATTTCCTCAAAGTTAAAAATGTTGTAGGATATTTCGATATCATCGGGCACAAACGACTTCGCATAGAATTCCTCAATCCTCAGTCTGTTTGACTGTTAGTAAAATAGTTATTTTAAACACTTGACCATTTTATTTAAGCAACTCACAGTGTGGACTTGAACAACTCTACAAAATACCATAAAAATCAAACTCTGCGGAGGCCGCATGTTTTAATGGCTTGATGACTGACCCATCTGAAATAACTGGCCGAAATTTGCTGACATTTGCTAGCTGGGAAATTAGCCTCATTACGCAGCTATTTAGTCAGGCCACGTTAACTGGACTAACGACTTTGAATTGGTCCGATTCTTATCGATCAATGCCCCAACAGAGATTGCATACACTATTAGCCGGGCAGGCAGGGCGTATGCGTAATGTGGGTGTACCACGTGTTAACATGGCGTATGCTTAATGAACAAACTCACAGCGATAAATATTGTCGAACAAATGAACTTGTGATGAGTATTTACCCAACAGCAAACAGTATGAGATATTCGAGACTTACGTGGAACTCAACGACGCATTTATAAAGACGATAGCTATGAAACCTGGACCCAGTTGCGAATTCAGCGGTCGCCAGTGGCCAACTGATGAACTTGAACCAACAAGCGTGAACGACGAATAGCTGGTAAAAACAGCAAAAGTTTACCATGTAAACGGGCATAAATTGTGCCGCCGGAAAGCAAAGGCGAACAAGAGTCTCGGATAAATCATCCCGAACGAAATATATGTATGCCAGTGGACCATAAATTTGAGCATTTTTATTGCAATTTGCTTGTTTGTACCGAAAAACAAGTGCAAACAATGCCAGCAATAACAAAGCCGGCAAACAAACGCTGCCTTAAGCCGCAAACTACAGTGAAAGTGACGTAATGCGATGGCACCAGCCAACAACAACAACAACAACAGCAACACTAACAACTAGTTGAAAAAAAAATATGTATAAAACCATTAAACAACGACAACAAAGTACAGAGGAAAGCAAGTGAGCAAGCGGCCAGCAAAAAAAATGTCAATGTCTTTTACAACGGAGCCGAGGATGAAGCAGTAGCAGCAGCTGACCAAAGGTTCAGGGGGTGGGAGGTGGGTGGTAGGAGGGTGGTGAGCGGGTGGAAAGTGGGTGGTTGGGACACCGATTCGAAGGTTGCCACGGGATGTGCACAACGGATGAAAAGGGCAAACAGCAGCAGGCATGCCGAAAGAGAGTACTTTGTTTGCATATGTGTGACCTTTCGCAATGGGCTTGGCACGTGTTTCGACTATCGAAATAAAAGGGAAGGTGACTAAAATAGAAAACTACGGCACTTTCAGGTGAGAATAACACATACCTTCAGTAAGTAGAACAAAAGTAACACAAATAATTGGGGGAAAAGTAATGGAACGAATTTGGCCAGAGAGAAATGAAAAGTTCTTGAAATGATTTTATTGTATTACCAATTTTTGTTTAATACCACTTTTCTGTGTCAACTATGTTGCAAGGGGGCGGTGGTTTTCGCGCACCATAAGAAAAAAAATTCACATGCATCGGATGTCGGCTTACATTTTATTTACCTCTCTGCTTCTTCGTTTTCCTCGCTTTTCGTATGGTTTATGTGTTCAGCGTTTTTTATCGCCTGCATTTACGATTCAATGTCATGCCGGCCTTTGTTGTTGCTCCCTGGTGGTTATTGCCAAATTGAGGCGAGCTGCGGTACAAGAAGATCAAAACGAAGAAGATCCAGTGGCTGCTGCACCAGAAGTTCCACACAACAAGATCGTTTAATTGCAAAACCGGTTGTGCGACCCCTCCTCATCAGTCAACTCCCCTTGCCTCCGCATTCCGAACTTCGGACAATGCAGCTCCAGTGTACAATAAAGTATGTAACTTGACCTTGAGAAACTAACTCCAGCCAAAACCACAGCTGCAATTGCCGGTCATCTTGGGAGCCGCCGCCAATCATGTATTATTTATGTATGCACCCCGCGCACATCAAGTTTTATGACCGCCCGATAATAATTGTTATTGAGCCCATACATTATGTTTTTTTTTTGCGTCTGGCGGAGGGGTGTTATCGTTAACAGTCTAGGCCAGATCCATCTAGATATATCTTTAAACGGTGGGCGAAACGCTGTCTGGGGCTTCCGCCTCAGTTACAGCATATGGAGATAATTTTGCTTTTCCAAGCGAAGCTACGTGATGTTGGTAAAAAACTCAACCCCATCCGTCACATCTTGGTTAATTTGTTTTTAACCAGATTCAGATTTCGGGTTAATTTACAACATACCTACTTATGGTAATTTACTTGTTAACTAAATAATGCACTACAGTTTATATTTGTAAAACTATTATTATTATGTTATTACCATTTCTTAATCAAGAAACCCTTTAGTTCTCAAGTATAAATTTATTTGGTTAAAAAATGGAAATTGGAATCCTAATGTAATATGTAAAGATAACATTGGTTCCCACATTAAAATATTTTTTAAAGACCTCGCTGAAGCCATTATTAAATTACTAAAACTAATGTCAACATTAAAATGCTTACTGTTTATCGTCAACACTAAAAAATTGGAGGCTAAGTTAATTTTTATTATTGACGAGCATGTAAGTGATTCCCATGTTGACGAGCATATAAGTGATTTCCATGTTAAGCGAGGGTAGATCAAGAAGTTGCGCTTAACAAAATAAGACAGGTTATATAACATTATGAGAAATTGTATCAGCGGAAATTAAAGTGAAAGAATTGGCGATGGAAAATATAGGTTAGCAAGTTTATTAACCCATCAAACTCTTACGGAATGCATTTTCCTCGATCTCGCAGTTGTCTACAAATGCACTGCCAATTTATTACCGAGATCATTGCTGCGAGTTGTAATTAGAGGCTGAACAGCAAGTAGAGTTCTGTGCGATTTGAATAGAGTTTCTACGCAGGTTTTTCTCTTGTTTCGTTGGTTTAGCACTTGAGATTTTTGTTTTTACGAGGCCCGCCCACTCGAACGACATGGCGAGGCACACCAAATGTATGGTGGCAAAGTGTATCCGTAGATAAAATGCAAATTCCCGTTAATTGAATGCCAAACAAAAGCGTTGTGGCAGCCGCAACATTGAGAAGGTTTTTGTTTTTGTTTCGGAGTGCGGTGGAATGGGGGTGTTTGAAAAATCAATTAGCAGCATAAAATATCTTTTTCTTTCTTTTTGGTTTAAAGCCGTACCTGGTTTAGTTTTTGTAAAACTCTTTCTCCTTTTGCCTGCTCTCTACTTTGTTAAAAGAGAGCAAATCCCAGAACCATCAGTTCGCCGGAAAAGCGAGAGAGGAAAAGCAGTGGAAAAACCGCAGCTGCTGCTTTAAATTTATGCCAACGCGGCATTAGAAGCATGGCTTGCGGTTAAATGGGCAGTGGGTGGTTCCTGAAAAGAGGGGCTGGGAAAATGGGGAAAATGGCGGGGAGGGGTGGGGGATATTTCAGCCATATTGGCTAGGTATTGGTAACATGTATGTGCGCCTGTGGGTGTAGCAAACTGCAAGAAATCAAGGCTTTAGTTGCGGCGGTCGCAACGAAAAATGGCGGAGCGCTTTATGAATATTTATAACACAATGGAGCATGAAAAAGTTCGTTTGTAGGTGTATGTGAAAGTGGGGAGGGGGAGGGCGATGGGGAGGGGGGACAAAAGGAGGCGGTATGAATACATGTGAGCAAGGAGCCATCCAGGTTCAAGCGTCTGTTATCGATATCAATTCCTGATTCACAGGGACGGGGTTAATAAAAGGATCAAAACCTCAAATATAAAAAAAAAAAAAAAAGAATTTCATAAATAAAAATATTTAAATAGTAAACAAAAAGGATCAAAGCTTTTTAATTTATTTATTACTTGGTTTTGTTTACCCCTCGTGTTTTTTCTGCTGAAATAAGACGAAAAATCGACCCAACTTACAATGCAAATGGAAATTCCGAAAGCAGAAAAAGTGACTCCACTTCCCTTCTCCAGCTCCTGTACATTCATCCTCGCATTTAGATTGGCAATAAATTAATACTTGAGCATGGAAAGTTTTGCCATTAGAAGGGCGAATCGAGTGACACACATTTGCAAAAATATTTAATTTGGCAAAAATGCCAATCGAACTGAGCAAGCACCCAGGAACAAACACTCCTAAAATCCATTGCACTTTTCATATCAACTGCAAATTGCGCATACGCAGTGTGGGCGGTGGCATTAATTTAACGCTCATTCAAACGAAATTTACAGCAAAAGTTTAAATTAAAAGTTGTGCAAAAAATTAGGAAAAATAGAAAAAACGAATGGCAAACCAAAACCAATTCAAATATTGATTCGGTGCGTGTTAAAAAAGGGCGGAGGGCGGTAAGCAAAAATGGGGGATTCCCCCGACTGTGAGCACGTGCTGGCGCCATCTAGCGGTCGCTGCATGCAAATTGCCAAATCAGTGCGTGACTTGTAAAATTTCCACAAAGGCTGCGAACAAAAACTCAAATGCAAACTGTTAGTTATGATAAAGCAAACTTAACTAGCGGTTATTTCGTTTTTATACCCTTGCAAAAGGTATTATGATTTCAGTCTGAAGTTTTAAAGCGGCATTTCTCTAAGAGTTTGTATTTTAATTTTCTTACGAACTGCATCATTAGTTTTTATTATTTTCTCGATTTGTTTTCTACTTTTATAATACAACCCCTTTCCGAGTTTCCAAAAAATGGGTTTGCTAAAAATTGACAAAAATTCACTAATTTTAAGTCCACATATTTTATAATCTTTAATCTCTAAAAGTTTTTATTTATATTCTCTGACGAACTGCTTCAATAATTAATTTTTAATTTTTGCCCAATTTTTATGATGGGTTTGCTGAACATTTACCTAAATTCACAGTCCACAATTTATTATTTCGATGTTTTTTAGACGCTATACATTTTGCTCGATATTTGTGATAAATGCAAGGGTATATAAACTTCGGATCCCCGAAGTTAGCTTTCTCTCCTGTTTCTATTTCTGAGGGGGTTAGCGGAAAGGAGAATTCGACTGGTTTTTTTTTATTTTGGGAAAATTTTAAACTGGCACGCACGTGTAACGCCCCACAATGGAGTGTGTAGCAACGAAGAAAAAAATAAATAAATTGGTGGCCCCATCTTTAAGCGCCAGTCAATTACCGAGTGTACAGAATGCCCCAGCTAATGGTCAGCTCATTCATGACTCGTTTAATGGCACCCTCGAGCAACTCTTTTCTTCGCTTTGCCAACGTTTTTTGCCGCCAATTTGAACAGCAACTGTCAAAGTCAAAGACTAACAAGAGACCATATACTCGTAGATATATAGTAGTGTGTCCATTCATGGTGGAAACTCCTCTTCTCCATATTTTACATCGGTCGACTGCTTCTGGGAAACGTTTGCCATTTGTGTATCTCTTCGTTTCGATGCCTTTTAAATGATATTTTCCATTGACATTCGGTAAACATCTTTTCCTGCAAGTCAAACTTGCCCATCTTGTATATGTATCTTCAATTTATATTTCAAGTGCAGAAAGTGGAGCAAACTAACATTTCCCCGATTCCCTTCGGTGCGGGTGTCAAAAGTTTTCGGTCAGCTCATACAGTTTATTGGTTTGTTTGCGTGCACTGACCAAAGGAATCGAAGCGATGGCTGCAGAACTTTCAAGAAACTTAATCGATTCGGACACTTTACAACATGTTTATCATAAGTGTTTGACCAAAATAAGTATTTTTATCAATTACTCGAAAGGCAAAGTGAAGTAAAAACACAGTGAGGACAGCAATAAATTTAAGTAGTAAAGAATGAAAAGGGGTTAAGACTCTTCATTTATTAACCACAAGCATTTATTGGTTACAGAACCACTTTTTTTATAGATAGATAAATAAATAGATAAATATTTAAAGTTAAAATGTTAAATTTACTTTGAATCTTTTTAAATCCTGCAGATTTATCTAGAATTTTGCTAAAGCGTATCTCAATCTTGTTTTTCATGAAGTTGTTTTTAAGTTCATAGTTCCAAAGAGCTGTAAGCAAACTTCGCTTTCCGTGCTCCATTTCCCTCCAGCTTTCCGGATGTTTCATCTCATTTCATTGCATCTCCCCCAGCTGCACATCCTAGCATTTAAAATTTATGTCAAATTAGCGAGCGCCCCAATGACAAATGCGCGGGCAATAGAAAAGGCCGCGAAGAATGCAATTTTTACAAGCCAGAGCAGAGTGGAGCAAACCAACTTCCTTCCTGGAAACCACTTCAGTGCCACGCCCCCATCCTCCGCCCATTGCACCACCCACCAGCCACCGCCTTGCCGCAGGGCAGCGGAAATTAGTTCAACGGCACTCAGAACAGCGGCAGTTAAACGTCGTCTAAGACTGGAGTGCAGCGAAAACCAGCCTGAGATCTCATAGAGATGGCAACCAATATCTTATATTTTGAACTTTATTAATAAGGTTTCGATTTAGAATTTAGAAGATTAAGAAAGCTATCAATATAAAATGATTAATCTTTAAATGGTTAAACTTCAATGTGAAGAATTTTACTTTGTCGTTTGTTTGGAAAATAATAGTTTGATCTTATTAGTTATTACTTTCAAATTTATCGAGATATATTTCCAAAGATTTAAAGAAAATCTAGAAAACCTATCAGACTAGATAAAAATTGGTTTTCGAAGATTAAAACAATTATAAATCGCAAAGTATTATAAACCATCATTAACATTATTTTATTAAAACTTTCAATCTCCGCCAATCGGTTAGGAGATCTTTTTTGGAATGAATAAATTCACAGTGCCAGATCGGAATGTTTTTGATTAAACCATCACTGGGAACTATCTAGTGGTCCCCGAGCCCTTCTCCTAACTGCAGACACTTGTTTTTTATAGCTGCAAGGGGTGGCGTGTAAGGCGCGCGGACATTTGAAGATGATGTAGTGCGGACATAAACATAAATAATGGCAATGCGCAGTTATTACTTTTCTTGGTCTTGGTCTTGGTCTTCGTCTTGGTCCTTTTCTTGGTGCTAGTCCTCCTGGTTCTTCTCTCGTCCTTGGGCTGTGATGCTTACATAAAAATTAAATGCAAGTGGTGGGCGGGGAGGACTGGGAGGGGGTGGTAAATTGCGGGGTCTTCTTCTGGTTGGATGCTGCTCATTGGTCTTGGCTTTTTTAATTGCATTCTGACTGCCGCATCAAATGGCAACCGCTGTCCTAATGGGTTAATTGGGCTCAAGGCAGGCATCCTGCGGCAGGCTCCTTCCAGGATCTCCTGATTTATCTGCGCTGGCAAATTGACAAACGATTCGCGCTTAATGGAAAAGTTACTCATACGCCATGGATTACAGCACGGCGCATTATTAATATTCATTTCAGTGCGCATAATTTGCACATACATCAGCGGACCGTCCAAGGATATGGGAGCAATAAAAGAAAGAAATTGCCATGATTTGGCAAAAGTTGCCTACGATCTTTTCAAACAATAAAGGAGCGAGAGAAGGAGATGGGGATAGGGGCAGAGAGGGTGGAGAATGCAGATTGCATGTCCTGGCAGGATGCATACGCCCCAGTCATGCATTAACAAAAGCCCCTTCCCCCAGAAACAATCCGAGCAAAGAGCCCCAGCCAAAAACATAAACAATAAACAGAGCTGAAAGGACGAAAAGGACGAGCAGGACGAGCAGGAGAAGGAGTTGAAGGAGGAGATGGGGTAACGCACTCCGCTAATGCACCAAAAACTGCATCCACTACTCTTAGCCACCCCTTTCCCCTCCCCCTCCCACTGCCACTCCCCCTCCCACTGCCACTCCCCCTCCCCTGTTACTTAACAATATTTCTCATTGTTGTTGAGACGTTGCAGGTGTTTGCTGAAGCATATCAAAAGTATATATACGGCTATAGCTGCGACTACGACGACGACGACTTAAGCCAGGCCCAGACCCAAAGACGTTGGCTGGGTGCACTTTTCGGTTGAGCCAAGGCAACTGGCTGTCTGGAGCAGATGGAGATGTTGGGGGCAAGAACCAGTTCAGCGGTTGTGATAAATTTCAGCAATTATGTTTATAATTTACTTACTAAACTTCCAACTTTCGTGAGTCACATTTTAAAGCTCAGCCCTTAAGTAATGGATTGTATTTCAGAGAATTTTAACAGAACAACAATCGAGAAATTGAGAAAAACTTTATAAAAAAAGGTAAGTTATTTAATTTTGCTAATTTATTTTAGGGGTTTACTGTTTAACAAACTAAAAAGTATTTACTTAATTTAATTTTTTGAATCTTTGTTTTTAAAAAACTTTATTTCATATTTTTGCTAACGAATTAAAACTAGATGTCCTCCCCCCTTTTTTTTTAACAAAGATTACTACTTAACTTTGAGTATTTTAGCGATCTAGTTCCATTTGGGAAAGAGAGGCAGCCGAAAAGTAGGCAACTCTCGTGGCACTTGCCATATGCGGCGGAAGAAAGGCCGTCTGCTGCACTCGCCGCACTTTCCCCGCAGTTTCCCCGCCTTTCTCCGCAGAGTCCGCTTGGCTGCCTCACCTTAATTATGAGTTACTTTTGTGCAGGCATTTTCTTAGTTGCTCTCGCCACCCACTCGGTTGTCCCCGTGTGCGTTGTTTACCTTTTTGTGCAGTTTAAATCAACTGAGTTGGGCGGAGGACATTGAGGTGGGTGCCGAAGGATCAGGAGCAGAAGGGGGAGCGGCGAGGCAATTGCTTGGGCTTGTGTTTGCCTTTGGGCCACAATGCTGCTAGAGGGAAGATTAAAGGGGCAGAGAGGGGGGAAGGGGGGTTTCTTCTACAACAAAGCAGACGAAAGTCGCTGGCGGCATTTGCCGCATTTGCTGCAACAGCAGGTGAAGGTTGGTGGAGGGGGAGGGGTAGAGCTACCCCGTCTGCGGTCGGGTCATTCGGGGGAGGGGTGGTGGGGTGTCAGCTGCTTATGCTGTGTAATTCCGCGTAAAATGCACAAAGGGACAACGCCAACCCGTTAACCACCCCCAGGCAGAGGCAACTGCCTTGAACCGCAGCCTTTCCACCTGCATGACACCTGCCATTGTTCGCAAAAAGTAGACAATGGCGACAGCCACAAGAAGGTGCGGGGTCACAAGGAGCTCAATCTGAATCTAAAGAAGGCACAATGAGTAGGCCCACCGAAATACATAAAACATTTTAACGAATTCCTTTCAGGCGGAGCAATCTTTCCTCAAAATGATTTATTTTGGCAATGAAAGTGTTAATTTTTCAAAAGCCAAACAAAAGTGACCTACTTAGCTGTTAGCAAACATCGATTGCAGGTCACGTTAAAGATTTGAACACAATATTCAATTAAAATTAAGTTGGAAAACGATTTGATAAAACAAACAATTTAAACATTTTCAAAACTGTTTACACGATTTTAAACTCTGCTACGCAAATATTTCATACTAAAGTGGCATTAAATGTGTTTGGAAAGTGTTATAAATTAGTTTCAAGTGCCTATTTGTAGTGGCAATAACAAAACTGATAAATTCTGTGGCAAAAAGAATTTCTCCCAACTTAATATTATTAATTCAAATTAATTTGCAAAGCCAAACGGGAAAGACTAAAATAATACATTTTCAGTGCAGTGTATAAGTTTTTCTCCGCAAACTGTAACAATTTCCTATGCAAATAACTCACTTTTAGTTAATTTCCAATTTCCTTTGAAAGTGTTCTAAATTCGATTTAGTTTATGTGCCAGCAAAGTGGGTGGGGAGAGGTCATTCTGGAGGGGCAACTTCATCGTCGGCTGACCGGAAATGCAACAGGAAATCAGTGTGCAAGGGCAGTAAATGCGGCTGCCACGCCCACATCAGTGCACCACCCACTACCCATGAACCCACCAACCACCACCCAACACCCACCACATTCGGCACGTTTACACATTGCACATTTTGCGTTGAGTAAACTTTGCTGGCAGTTGAGGCAAAAACGGAGGAAAAGCAGAGGAAAAGCGGAGCGAAAAGGGAAGCGAACAAAGTCAAAATAAGTCAAGCTGGAAATATTTCCCATGCCTCGGCCGACTTTTTTTCCCTTTGCCATTTTCCTCCGTGAAAAGCGAAGAAGAGGACCAACTCCGGGGGCCATTTTGTTATTACAGTTGCTGCAATTTCCAGCGTCGACGTTTTGCTGCTGCTTTAGCAACAATTACAACGGTCGGCCAAAAAGAAAGCCACCAACTGTGGAACGT